TTAAGTATGTAAAAATGTCGACAATTAAAACCACAATCGCACGGAACATATTGTGCCAACGAAATTTCTGTTTGCATGCTTACAGCCACGATACTACGATTTTTCAGCAGATTATATATACCAGTGACAAAATTAATAGCACCACCAACAAAATTATTTTTAGCCTACATCAAAATTAGCAACCAACAGCTCATTCCTTAAGGGGACCACTATGAGATGACTTTTCGTTTAATATGTTTCAAATTTTAACATCAGCTTGTAGGAAAATTTTCGGGCTTCCAGAGAGTGTGTCCCGATAAGATATAGTATACTGTGATCACAAGTTATCAGTTAAAAAACAAGGCGGGTCAGCAGCGGCGCAGTAAATGCACTGATGTTATCGGCTAGCCATGGCCAGCCACATGGCAGATATGCCACAGAAGATCTCAGACAGAACATCAAATGCTGTCCTGTGGCCGGAGCAAACCCATTCTTCCCTCGCAAGCTATGTCCTGTCTGATCTCTTTATGCACAGCGCGGGCATGGGTAGCCGGCTCTGGCACACATTGCTGCCGGCCAGTCAACAAGCCCTCCATTCAGCTGACGTTTTCCAAAAACTAGTTAAAGGGCTTTAAAAATCGATAACTTCATTGTTAAACTTCCTACACTTTCCAAATGGGCATCAGATAATGTGTTATTTTCTAGAAAGCTTATATACCGACACTCCGCTGTAGTCCAACAAAGCGTGTTTGAGTAAACTCAAAAAAACACTTTTCAGAAAGTGTTTTTCTCAATTTTTTTGTAAACTAACAACATTTTTTATTAACATGTTGGAGAATATAAGCTTTCCAGGCTAAAACACATTTAACGATGTGTATTGCATCTAATTCGAAAAAACTTTCTCATTCAGCTTTTGATTCCAAAGTTTTTTCTTTGTTTCTTGAATAGCTCTGTCTAGACAGAGCGCAGACAAGATCGCAGCACACCATTGTGTAGCCAAACCTTTTGCGCCTGCAGTCATAACAATAGCAACAGTGTTCTTTCAGTTGTTTTAAACTTATTCATGTTTTCCCAGACCCACTTTCATCTCATAGCCCTCCCCTTAAGCTGAAGTACGAGGGAAGTACCAGCACGATCAGCGCAAATTCTACATACAGTAGTCTATATCCACCTGAAATTCGTTGTATCTGTACATGTGGATGCTTTTTATTGAGCAGCGACTGATTTCGGGCCAATTTTTGTAATTGTTTGCACGTATGGCTAGCACAGTTGCCTACCAGTTAAAATCGTTTTAAATCCTGGCTTTATACCGCCTCCGAACTTTAACTTTAAAATGTCACAACAACCGTGAGAACAAAATTTGCGAAGTAAATACGAGTAATAACGCAAGGAAGTAAATCGATGTGTTTTTCACGTGAAAAAAGCTTTCAGAACTGATTACATGATAATTATTGTTTTTATACAAGCTTGTACAGATACATAAGATTAATAGAAAATAATCTTTCCAATGTCAGAGGCGGCCGGAAGTATCGACATTTAATGGAGATACGACCCAGAAACCAAACACCCACCAACTGACGTGAAACGGATTCTGCAGAAGTCTTTCTTACAGACTTTTACAGAAAACCAGCCAAGTCAGATGAGCAGTGCAGTTCCTTCCCAAGCTGACACCGAACGTACCATACATAGCAGGTATAATCGTAAAACATGAAATAATTTCGGTTCTTAAAAAAAATTTATTCTGCTGTTTACCGAAACTTTTAATGTACCGTTTCGTAATGGTTTATGGCAATGGAGGATGCAATTTTCCGCCTAGCGGTGAAGCTATAGTTGCCATCATACGTACTACGAGTTTTGAGCGAATTCTTGATACACCGGCAAAATTTGGTGTGGACAATGACATCACATCATCAAAAATTGATTATTTACGTCCTGTGTCGAAATGTGAAGCCGACCCGTCATGCCATAATCATGTATTCATGTTTAAAAATACAAATACGTACACTTAAAAAATACGAAAGAAAACGGCTAAAAAAATTCCAGTATTCGTACAAGCACACATAAAATATGAAAAAGCAATACGCGAGTTAATATAAGTCAATCAGCTGTACACATACCGTTAACTGTTAAGTACAGTAGGTATACCGACACTGATTTCAGTTAACTAAAAAAATATTCACTAAAAAGATTAAATTTATTTTCTCTGTCATATGTACCGTATCAGGATCCGTGGCGAAAGTAAAGTTAAACGATAATGCAGCATTGAAGAGAGATCGAGGACTAATTGCCATAACACTACGAATGCAGATGTAGTGTTATGGCAATTAAGGCTGCGACGATTTCGTTGCCGCAGCCTTCGAAATTTACGGACCTTTTGGAGACGGTACTAAAAAGCTAGTGGAAACGGTTGGAAACGGTATTGCGGCTTCAACTGGCCAAAAGCGGGCGAAAGAGTTTTTTAAACAGCGAATATCTATGCAAATACAACGGGGAAACGCGATTTGTGTAATGGGTACGATCCCCGACCAGGATAGCATAGAGGAAGTGTTTCTTTTGTAAATGCCGTTTTGTTCTGGTGCATAGTTTGCACTCGTACCACGATACTTATTAAAGGTTCAATTTGTCAGTGTTATGGTAATATTACAATGTCAGCAGTTATAACATAGTCACCAGCCGGTTTACGATAGGAATTATAGTCTGCGGTAATTAGGTAGAAATCTTACGACTGATTGGCGAATGTTTATTTTTCTTACACGGGCTGCGTCAAAAGTAAATTTAACAGCTGAAGAGAAACCTATGTCCGAAAACGAACGAGTACAAGGAAACAGAATGTCCAGTGTTGTACTAAACAAAAAAATTAAGAATCCTCCTCATAAGAAAGCGCGCCAAAATACAAGACGGTTTATGTATCGTAAATAACAAGATTACACTAGCACCGAAAGGTTTACGTTAGTATTTAGGTATATACCGCAACCGCCGTCTCAACTAGAAAGGTCACCGCGAAAATCTTTTCGTCCGCATGAAGAACACGGTATCTGAACGCACTTTTCCTGTATTAGAATACTGTAGCGCGATTGCGAATAGTACCCGTACAAAATTAAGTATGCGATTGTGTTGTGCAACCGCTAACCAAATCTGGCAGCACTGTAGTCTTCGGCCAACAAAACACATTAATTCCCTTACTGGTAAAATGACAGTTTCGGTGTTTAAAAAAAACCAGATTCGATTTGGACCAGGAAATTTTGAGTACACGGAAATGCTCCAAAGATCCGGGCACAAGTCATTGCTGTTCTATCCGAAAATCCCTGCAGTTAATCTATGTATATGTTTGTTTTTGGCGACCTACCATTCAACCGTAAAGGGCGGCTTTAGTGTTTTTATGTGCCATTTACAAACAGCTTGACTGCACAACTAAGCGATCTGGAATTCCGGTTTTATTTATGATTCATTCTCTGCAACATGGAATTAAGTAATGACCTTTGAAATTTATGCAACGGTGTCAGGCGTATAAATACGGTTTTGTAGTGCTCAGTTAATCATGCCATAAACATGGTTTTCCTATTTTGAACAAGTACCGCCTACACAAAGAATATCAAATTTACGAAAATCTCTCATTCCAAAATTTTAAATTTTTGTAGGTTTCTCAAATCTACCTAAGATCTTTTAAAATACTCAGTACATAAAACACAGTTACCAGCGCAAACACTTTCACCATCGTGTCTACTTTCAGACTTCAGTACGGTATCGATACTAACCCAGAAAACAAAAATAGGAATTCAACGGGAATTACAAACACACTCATAATATTATATTAGAATGGACTGCCTAACCAAACCGGCGCAGGAATACTGCGATACAAACAACACGCCAGAGAAAAAGTTGTTGAGAAAACGAGACACTCAAACTTGACCCATATCGCTGTACGACAATTTGAAACTCACCAGTATCAGCGCAAGTAAAAATTCTGCGATACACTACACTACGATATTCCTTGTGGACGACCGCGGTGCCGTTTTCTTTGGTGAGTGTGTTTCGAAAACAGGAATCGGCATCTTTGTATAATGCAAAGAAGCAGTGTCATCTCCTAAAGTCAATTTTCCCATGTACTGTAGAGTTTTTTTATTTAGAAAATTTTATATGGATGAAGAAAAACCCAAACCACTATAATAAATAAACTCACGTAAGCATTAGAAGAAAATACGATCAAGTGATAATTAAAGAAAAGACAAGACCACCCAAAAAATAAAAGTACTTTCGAGTGACGAAATTAGCTGAAATTTGAGGGAAACTCCGACAAACAAATAATGTCCGAAATAAATGGCAAAAACATTCACTTAAAGCTACGCTTTTCCCCTTCACTCTATTAGCGCACCTTATGTGATTAGCACCAAAATTTTTTCAACTCAACCACCATCACACTACGATTTCTTTACCACCCTGCATACATTAAATAAGTGAAGCTATACCATTACAAAAATGCAACGGATCGGACACAATACAGAGTACGTCGGTCGTAAAAAATCAAAACAACGGAAAAAAAATGCCTATACTTTCGTAAATTATTAGTATCTAATTATCAGCAGGATGGCTTTTGATGGAACCACCACCAGTCACAACACTGCGAATGCCGGTGCTCCCTTTGCAGATTTGAATCTTAAGATTAAATATTTCACACTGACAGACATTGCAGATTCGGCACCGGCATGACAACGATTATCGTAGAGCAATGGCAAAACCCGGTCGGATTCAAACGCAATCACGATTTGCTATAATTTGCAACTTACTTTAATAAAATTTGCCTGTTTTTATTTTTGTACGTCATTTACGCCAGCAAGAATTAAAAAAAAGGTGGTAACAAGAGAGAAGTCAAAAATCGAAGGACTATCGCGGCCATAAAAGTAAAACGAATCCGGAAATGGCCGAAAATGATAATATAAAATGACGATGTAATGCTGCATATTAAAATCGCTATTAATTCTACCAAATGACCCACGAATTCGCAGTGCTTCATTAATCCGCGCCACAAATGTTTTATTATTTTCATTCTTTTGTACAGATGCCGTCTAAATAAATAATACGTAATAAAAAAATCTTCATCACTCAGCCATTAAGTGTCTTAGAATTGTCTCTGAAATAAGTCAATAAAATTCCGCTACCAGCCCAAACAAACCACTCACCGTCGTGCTGAATGTACACTCAATACCTGATATTAATGGGAGAGAATAAGAAAGTAAACGTAAGAAATTCAACGGGAATTACGCACACGCAAATGTACAAGCGACAGCACGGACTGGGTATCCGCATTCCGTCTATGTTGGCTGCGAGATCAGCAGGGGAAAGGTCTTGACCGTGGAATGCCAGGGCGTCGACAGCTGGAAGAAGTTGATGTGGTGCCAGTCGCAGCCGTCGATGGCCACTGCAAAGGAAAAACCAATCCTTTTCTTCGTCGTTGCACATCATCATTTATCAGACGTCATTTCAATAATATTAAATTCATTTGTAATAATATTACTCGGGGGAAGTTGTCTCTATATCTGCATTCACGGCTGATTAGTTTTCAAAATAATAACGAATACTTCACATGGTTTCCCTGGGAAACAATTAATTACTGACTGATAGCAAATATTTCACTCATCAGCGTCAAATAACAGTGAACCCGTTTTAAGCACGTAATAAAGAATACAACCAAAATTAAAAATCAATATTAAAAATATAACAGCAATCTTAATTAAATGATTTAAATTATGACTAGAAAATCATTTCTATATAAAAAGTTTGATTAACCAAACTTCCACTTAATGCAAAGTTCCACTGACCTTTCATGGTGGTCCCCTGGGGCTTACTGATCCGGCAGATGAGGCGCGTGACGGGCTCCTCGCGGACCGTCCTTGTCTCGGAGTCCTTGGGCTTCTTGGCCAGGGCGCGCATCAGCGGGATCTTCTTCTCCTTGACAGCGTACAGCAGCGTGAAAACATTGCCGCCCGTGCCGATAACGGCGCTGCCGCCCGGCTGCGCCTGCGTAATGGGCCGCACCACGTACAGGAACTTGAAGGGCGCCTTCAGCGAGGTCTTCACCGAGGGGATGTCCTTGGGCGGGGCCTTGTGGGGGGCGCGCGAGGCCACGCTGCCCGGCGTCTCCGTCACGGATAAGATGACCTCCGTCTTCTTACTGCGCTCGTCGCTCGACTGACTCCCCGGCATCCAGAAATCCACCTGAATATGTCAGCACATTACTCCACCAGTGCAATGACATTCTTATGTTAATGACAAACCAAAATACTAGAACAAGAGACATAAATGCGATAATATAATTATTATTAATAAGGAAATCCAACCGACTAACCAACACAATTTGATCGGCAAAAAAATCCAAAAGAAGTAAAACGCTATTTTGGATGATTCGTTAGAGGCAATGGTCGCTGAGTCATCAAAGACAAGTGTAAATGATAAATACCGATGCACGTTGAAGGAACTTGGGGCGCTTCCGTGCCACTACTCTACGGCTACCGTCACTGAACACGGTGAAACCAACGTTGTGAGCTCTTGCTGTGAACTGAGCAGGACTCTCATGAAAAATATATCCAGTAAACCATAAATGTACCGAAAATAATAATACGAAAAAATAGGTACAATAGATATGATTAATCAGATTGGTGGGATCCAAATTAATTCCAAAAAAAATCAGAAAATCCCAAAAGTACAGCTAATCAAATTTCCCTAGTAAGCTACACTGCAGAAATACAGGAACGCAAGCTACTGCTGTTTACCAGTCACCGGCCTCCTCCACATACCTGCAACTCCATCAGCTCGCCGGCCTTCTCCCGCTCCCGTTCCCGCTCCCCACCGCCGCCCAGTCCCAGGACATGCGCCAAATTGGGCGAATTGGGCGGGGAGAAGTCGCGGGTGTCGTGCGGCGTCAGACCGGCCGCGTCGCGCTCCTCCGTCTCCAGAGAATCCTTCACCGGCAGATCGGGGCCGCCGCTGACCCGCACGTCGATCAGGAAGGGTATGAAGAGCTGCGGCGAGTCCGGCTGGTCAGTGGGCGGCGCCGGACCGGGCTGTGTCGGGGGTTTGATGATGTTGATCATGGCCTGCGCCACCGGGAGACTGAGCAGCTCCTCCGCCGACTGGATGTACAGCTTCATCGTCCCCACGATGTGCTCCCAGTCCACGTCGTCCGGGTCCGTGTGCTCCAGCGCGGCGAACCAGGAAATCTATCAATCACACTTGGGTATGATTGCAGCAATCACAACGGCTGGTTATCCTATGGTTTTACAGAAAAAAATATACAACATGCTACATACAGTTTTTATATAAATAAAAATTATAATTATAGATAGTTTGTCCCGCCAGATAAAAAATGTTAAAGATTAGCATCGTTTGAAATAATTAAATCTATTATGCGTTGCACACATGGTAGCATTTTAACGCGTTGAGGATACGGCTAGATCAAATACACTGCAGTACGATACCCAACAACATAAACACACGAGAGTACAGCGACGTGATTAAAATACGCACCAACTAAATTAACTTTCATTCAAGACCTATACAACAATTATTACAACAATTACAATAATAATAAATTCACTAAATGGAATTAAAATTACACTGCCTCACTGCTGGTTGTGCCGGTGCGACGTACCTCGTCAAAGACCTTGCCGGCCAGCGTGTCGGCCTGCAGGATGAAGCGCGCCAGTCCGCTCTGGCCGAGCGGGACAAAGATGAAGCGGATGCCGTTCTGCCAGTCGGTCGGCCGCTCCGAGAACGTCTCCACGTAGACACGCAGCGTGGCGTTGACGAACTCGTCCCCGCCGCACAGTACCACGCGGATCACCGGCTGGTGCTGGCCGGATGCGGCCCGCGAGAACTGCAGGCGCTGGAAACGCGCTACCAACTGCGCGAAGCAGGCCTTCAGATCACCTACACAAGCCAAGGTATGCAAGATATCGCAGACACTGCCACGATCAAAGGGATTTTATAAAATCCATCTATTTATTTTATTCAAATTCCATTTCATTTAAAAATATATTTACCAGGTTTTATAAAATATAAACATAGACAGTAATAATGTAAATGCACTAGCAACTGACATCAATGTAAGTAGCTTTGTTGGAATTACAAAGGAAAATCAACAAATCAGAACCAAAAAAATCTCAAATGTACATCCAGCATTACCAAACATATTAAATTCTTGGGTAGAAATTTGACACGCTTCAATCATACTGATGAAATAAGATGCCATCGTACTACAAAACACACTACGGCTCTCTAAACTACATTATCCGGTGCTGACTGCCGCAAATACAAACAAAAAGGAAGAGCGAAAGAAATAATTAATTATTACTTTACTGGGCAAAAGGCCATCAACATAACAAAAATATGCATTCGCGTAATACTACGTAAAATGATTCGCATAATTAATGTGAAGAAATACAAATAAAAAAGCAAGCATATGGATAAGACAAAATTAGTAAGAAATAAGTAATCTGAAAGATAAATCAGTCAAATCATCAAATAAATCAAGAAACCAAATAAAAGATAAGATGTTGATTCAAACCTTTGTACTACTTAAGAATCAAAAAGGCATGAAAAAGGAACACAGGAACTAAAAGAATAAAAAGAAAATAAAGGAATAAAAAAGATAAAATTAATAAAGGTATGGTATAAAAAAGAAAAAAACCTAAAGAACCTCACTGCCGTTGTGCACGTACCAATACTGGCCACGGCGACGGCCGGCGCCCCGCCCAATCCGCCACAGAACTTGTCGACGAGCGGCCGGCCCAGCGCGTGCTGCCCGTTGACCCAGACCATCATGGTGGGCAGCTCGTCGTCCGGCGAGGGGAAGACGTGCTGCAGCTGCTCCATGAGGACCGCCCGCGGGAGGGGGTCCACCGGGAAGGCCTGGCTGAACTTGCGCCCGGGACCCTCCACGCTGTACACGTCGCGCGGGAGGGACGCCGCCGCGTCGGACGCCGGCTTCTTGTCCTTGTCGCGCATCGACCACGACTTCTCGCGCAGCACCAACGCCTTGGCTTTCGGCTTCTTCTCCGTCTCCTTTCCGCCGGATTCCTCGGGGCGGCGCTCGTGAACGGCCGTGCCGTCTTCATCGGTGAGATTGTCCTATCAAACACACCTCTTGCCAGCTGCGGTTGAGATGATGAAAGATAAATTCAAAAATCCATTACGAAATTCGTCATTCATTTGAGAAAACCAGGCATAAGAATTACTTTCACAATTTACAAAAATTTTCTAATAAATTATGTATTACAAAAAACTGTTTAATTAAATCTTTACTGTTTACTGCGGCAGTTAATGTAAAGTCCCGTGAAATAAATGTTTAGTCGACACCAATATGTAGATCAGGCCGACCCAGTTGCGTGCCACCGTACTACGATCACTAATCAAATTACCATGTACCGAACACCAACAAAACTGACAATGAATATCACACCAACAAAATGGAATAATTATTTAGATTTCTGCCGTATTTATTTTCGTATCCTTTGAAAAATTATTAATTTGTCAAACTTCGTTTTTAAATTTAATAATTGATAAACGATAAATTATAAGAATCGATTTTCTTTAAAACATTAATTTTCCGATTTTCTAACAAATGTAGGAATCAAAAAATTAGGCATAAGAAAAACTCCAAGTATAGTTCATATGTATCATCTTTTTAGGCATAAATAAATTTAGGTACGTATCAATTTTTAATTTCTCCGAAAATTTTCATGTGTTGCTTAGCAGAGTTAAGCCATCGCTAGCGAGAGCAGCGTTAACACAAGCATACCGGATGAGAATCAGAATTGTTGCGGGATGCCTCGTCGTTCTTGTCCAACTGCAATACCCACCACGTTTAGTCACTCAACACGCAAATTTCCACGGCTACACCTGACGCACCCGTGTCACGTTCAACGTCGCGGAATCCGGCGTCAATCCGGACGCAGTCGCGCCACCGCTGCCGCCGGTCAACGGCGACAGTCCGCTGTCCGTCGGCTTCTGGCTGGCCAGCATCAGGGTGGACCCCGAGCGACCCGGTTTGAAATACGGACTGCGGAGAAACAAACGCCACACTGTACAGTGTTCGTAGCGAGATGTAACGTGTTTGGTTACCTGAGATGCGGGCGTGGAGTGGACTGGACGCTGATGTTGTCGAAGAACTCGGGCGCGCTGTCACTGTCGAAATCCAGTTCATCCAGCAGCTCATCCTCCAACACCGCCTTCTCGTTGGCGTCTAGTTCGGCTTGCTCCGGGTCGATGTCCACATCCACGTCCGGATCGAAACCCTGTAGCAATACATCGAAATCGTGCCTAGTGCAACAGCAGGTAATGTTCTTTCTATTGCCATGAGATTTTGCTTGGGTTTTCTTTTTCTGTTATTACTAATATCCCATATAAACAATACATCCAGTAAAACGCCGGTGCGTAATGAGAAAAATATAAGTGAGAAAAAAAGAGCAGGAGTCGTATTACGATGTCAAAATTGAGATTTCTCACAACTTAATGTAAGCAACGGCATCATTGCAATAAATCACCTGGAAATGGTAGCAAGCCATGAGCCCATCTTCTACGCTCAGCGTGTCTATTGAGCATATACGCGATACACGGAAATGGCTACGATTTACCGTGTACATTGTACACGATATGAAAGCATAGTTTGCCAACTGTCAGGCTAACTTCCAGCTATTTTATAAAAAAAAGAAAAATTATAATTCCCAAAAACAGAAAATGTGGTTATAAAAACATATATATTCAAAAATACGCATTTACTGCAGGAACAAATGTACAGAATATGTAAAGTACCCCTTACATTTAAAAAAAGCTCCACACCCTAAGTAAATACAGAATTCAAAACCCAGTTAAATTTCCGTTCGTACCGTTTCAGATGCCTTGAAGCGTCGCAGCAGTGAGATGAATTTCTGCTTGAAATTCCCTTGCTAAAATCAAAATAGTACACTGAACAGAGGAATCTTGTGAAGAAGAAAGTAACGGGGAAAACAGCGCGTACCCGTCCCATGACCATCTTCCGGCGGCTCTTGCCGCTGACGCCGCCACTGCCTTCCCCGCCGGGAGCGTGATGATGGCGGGGATGGGTGTGCGCCCGCAGCCGCACATTCTCCGGATCATCACCGGCGTCCGCTTCACTGTCCGACACATCCGACAGGTACTCGTCCTCCTCCGAGGTGTTATCTAACCTCACCACAAACAATACTCTTGAATTTTCGAGGAAATGCAGTATTCATTACGAGCAACACATCTACGCAATTCATAGGTCAGCGATAAAAATATACTTATGGCTTAAATTGACTGAGCTACATGAAATAGTACATGACACTCATAGCAAACTGACGTTGTACCAAAATAACGAACTGACAGGGTTAAGCAGAATAAAGTATAAATTTCACTATGAGAAAATCATTATATTTAGTTAATGACTAATCCCATACTGAGGTAAACTGGGTGATGAAAGCTGTCAAAACTCAGACACAAATTAAAATCAATAAAAAAAGTTATACTGATATTCGCTCATTTATTCAAGACAGGATAAAATGCAAAAGTATAGGAAACAAGTTTGAACGGCACTGTAACCACTACACTACGATTTCTTCACCAGAGCACAACAAGTACGATTTATGGCAAAGTATCCGTTGCGCTAGTTTTTCGACAATGACAAGAAAAATCTATCGCTGACTGGTATCACTCATTATAACCTCACCGTCTTCCAGTGCCAGTGGTTCCTTCCCGTTGGGCGCCGAGACGGGTTGCGTGGCGAGGGAGACCATCTGGATGCGGGCCACCACGTTCTCCTTGCTCTTGGCGTTGGCGTAGAGATTCAGTTCCTGGTCCACGGATCGCTGCAGCACCTACACGACAAATAACTCTTGATACACGACACCGGATGTTCGGAATAACAGAAGCCGTTCATATCAATACTTCGTTCATATCCACACCGCCGATGGCCAGCGTTTTGAAGCCGAGAATACGCCGGTTCTTGTACTTTTTCCGCCGCTGCAGCATCACCAGCAGCAGATTGCCGCGCTGCTTGAGATAATGCGGATACTGCAAAAACGGAGCTCATTTACTACGCTTTTATGTAAGCTATTAAACGGAAAACCCGAAGCCAGACAGTTAGCCACATTAAAACATCTACAAATCAATGAAAATTATCTGGAACTACTGTACATTATAAAAAAAAACTGCACGCAGCCCCGCGATCCATCAGTATCGCTTTCTAACGCAACTAATCCGGCATAGAGGTATTTGAACAATCAGAAATTTTATATAACAAAAAATGATACTACTGCGTTTTACTCTGTCAGGCTATCGCATGGCAAACAGCAGCTTCTGGAAGTCGAATGTTGAAGAATTTAACAGCCACAGCACTACGATTTCCTATACCATTTGTGCAGATTGGAGCCGTGCCGACACACTACTGTACTCCATTGTAATCATACTAATGTTCATAATCAGTCCAGTATACCAACCGCCAAAATCCAGATATACAGTAGACTGCATTATCGGCATACATTATTAAAAAACCAATTAGACGATACTGTGAATAAAAACAGTACGAGTACAGTAAATTTAACATCTGACTTCGTACCTGTAAAGACAAGGACAGATCCAGCTCGGTGTCCAGCAGACCGCCGGTCTTGTCCGGCAAATCAATCTCCGCCGAGCGCAGCGTTCTCTTGGAACGCTGCAACAAACCATGATTAAAAATCTCTCAGTACTTTCAGCAACTCCCCGGTATGCTCCAATATGACCACATTCTCACCTCCATTTTGACAGCGATCGTCACCGAGGTGAGTCCTTCTTCCAGGCATTTGCAGATAACCAAGCGTGTCAGACGCACACTACAGATTCTACACAGACAGAGAAACGTAACGATTATCGTAGTACGCGGGCAAGATGTAGATCGACCTCTGAATCTCTGCACAATTTTCATGCTACCAGAATTACAAAAATTGTAAGCAGAATTTAGTAATCTTTTTGCTCCCATGTAACTAAAATAACCACCCCCGTCTCAAATTTCACAAAATCCTGTTTACGCTCGCCTAGGAAAACATCGAACACCACAAAGAGCGACAATAAGACTATATGCGATATCGAAACAGGAAATACGGTACTTGCACAACTTTGTTTGCTAGCATTTCCAGAAACCAAATTCATTGAAACTACGCATCGAAAACAAATTAATAAAAATACATATATTCAAATACACCGTTTAATTGCAAATTCTTAAAATTTGCGGAAAAATTTCAAGAAAGCTGGCAAAAAAAGGAAACCAGCTGCAACCGACTGGGAACGATCGCAACAGGAAAATCAACGATCGCTGCCCAAATAGCGAGGCAAAACAAATGGCAAAAGTGAAAAAATACCACTTTCTACAAAGGCATCTATCTAACTTACAGCGTACTGCAAATTGCAATGAAAGCAAAATGTGGAAGAAATGGCAGCTGCACCACACACGGAGAGAAATTTGATAAAGAAAAATACGGGTAAATGTATACCTGGGCGTGCAGAAGGCCGGCGTGCGGTCCAGATCCCCGATGGCGAAGAGCTTCATGGGGATGGGCTTGTGGACCACCCCGAAGGCCGTGGTGGGGGAGAAACCCGAGTTGACGGCCGCCGGCAGTCCCCCGAAGGCTCCATGGCTGTGAGGGCGGGTGTGAGACCCTCCGACGTACAAGTGGGGCGAGGGGCCGCTGCCCTGCGCGAAGGGCGAGGAGGGGCTGATGGTGAGGGTGCCGCTGGAGGCCACGCTGGATAAGAGTCCGTGGCGGGTGGCGGTCCCCTGGGTCAGGGGCGAGGGGTTCGTTAGGCGGTCCGCCATGGGTTAGGGGAAGGGAGGCATGGCGGGGGGCAGTGGGGGGAAGCGATCAAGGGGACAGCGCAACGGCGCACAGTGGGAGACGGATGATCAGCGCTGCAACGAGATTATCGATTGGAACTGTCAACGAAACATCTGCGAGTCAAGGAAAATCCCGTCGGCATGCACGTGATTGCAATTCGTAGCACCTTGGTGGATAATCCGATAATCTGATTCATTCCACCGCATCGCCAAATAATGCTGAACTTACCTGAAAGCTCTATATCAGCAGCGGAGCATTCAATTCTCCCTGGGTACCAAAAACACGAATGAACATGAATTTGTTTGGTGCTGGTTTGCACGTACCAGATCACAGATGTTGTGCAGTCTGCAGCGTGTGCTCACTATTGAGCAAACTTTCCGAATGATGTCTGGATATTGATGATAATAAATAAGTCGTCTTTGTAGAAAACGTGAGCATGCAGTTCACCCTTTTGATTTCGAAAGTTGGAAAACAACAACATAAAAACTGGAAAATTCAGTGCCAGGGTAGCAAGTCTGCAAGTTGCAACTGCGCAGCGAATTAAGACAACTGAGCGGCTGTCGGTACGAGCGTCCGCCGTTCAGGCGTCGGTTACCTATGTTTACACATGTGACATAACGACCGGAAATGAATCAGTCGGAAATGAATACAGTACATACATTTCTGCAGACTGTATTTCTTACGATTAAGTACCTGTACGTTATTCTGTGGGGTCGTTTTTACTTGCTTTATTTTTTGCTGTTTGCATCGTTCTTTAAACAATTTTCCAGTATGGATATTAACTAGCGAAAATGCGCCAAAAGCTAGCACGAAAGGCGCAAGCATTTTAATATGATATTTTTATGCATTCTTTTACGCTGTTTTCTGTGAATTTTATCGCCGAACCTATCATTTGTTTAGGTACTAACAGTCATGTGCATTTTCGCACTATCAGCTAACTGCTATAGCGTTTTTTTTATTTGTTAGGCTAACACCGGAGTTTGTGGAATTTTCGCTAACGACAATCGAAATTTTAATCGTGATTTTTTATATGACATTTTCCAGTTGCTCCCTGCAGCGTATTAGTGCAGCATTTTGTGGTGTATTTTTATATACAATTTTCGGACAAACTCCTTGTGGTAAGAATTATCGCAGCTGCTATGTCTAATAATTCTCGAATTATCGCAACGCGCAATTTCCGCCGTAACAGACCAATACTTTATTAATAAAATCCGCGAAACATCAGACGACTGTAAATGCTAGCAGAGAATTCCCGAAAACTGGTTGGTATGAAAAAGGAGAGAAAGAGAAAAAAAAACAAAAGTCCAATAATATCCAAAGATTAATTGGTAATAATGCGTAGCAATGCGAGCGCCATTTCTACACCACCAGCGCCTAATACAGCAGCAGACAGACCACAGCATCCGTCCTTATAAAAAACGCAACGGAAGAGACTACCCAGAAACCGCTTTTTCCCACAAACCGGCGTGAAACACAGTATGATCCAGAGACACGACGCGACAGAAGAGAGAGAGAGAGACTGCTTCACAGAGAGAACAAAAACTCTGATTTTAACGAATTACGCTCACAGCATCAGATCCATATTACAATCAAAACACCAAACAATGTCACCAATTTTTTATGCACCAACGGTTAAAAACAAACGAACCGATGAAAAAAACAAGAACCCAAAAGACTATCTATCGCTTCACAAAATAATCGGCACTCTGACAGAGAAGAAGAAAAAAACAGAAAAACAAAACAGATCTCTTTCCGTGTGACATTCCCCAATAATTATTTGATTAATTAATTCAATATAATATAAAACAACCGAGATTAACTTTCCCCCCGATTTCCGTCCGTAAAAATAATTCCCCCCGAATTCTGCTTCTCCATCGCGTGGGTATGAAGAGAGGGATAAACACAATTCCAAAAGGGAAGAAAAAAATGCGCTGGAAAATATTCCATCTGATTCAATCGTCGTATGAATTGTGTAAAAATATTAAACGCTAAAACGACTAGATTGTGAACAACCACGTTTGCTTTCACCGATGACTATGTCATGTGTTTTACGATAAAAATGTGTTACGATTTCGAGAAAGAGAGAGAAAAAATCGGAAAAAGGAGAAGAGAGAGATTATAAGAGACAAAATTAAAACGCCACACTGAGCAACAAATATACACAAAAAAATGATTTTTTCCGAAAAAAACTGCTTTTGCTTCGACTCTTGTCTCTGATTTTGCTGCGCTAAGAGTCAACAACTCCCGAGCCCGACCAAAAAAATCGTAGAAAAAACGAATTCATATCAGCAAAGTGTGTGTGGGTGTGTCACGTGACCTGTGGTTGTGAGTCAACATATCCTCTTCCCGTTTTCCAATAATTCCCCCCGCGCAACATCTTCAGACGAGATTGTACTCTTTGAGATTGGACTGCAGGATCGTGTCCTTGACGACGGCAAAGACGAAGCGGATATTCTCCGTATCCGTGGCGCAGGTGAAGTGCGAGTAGATGGTCTTCTCCGCGTCCGGATTCAGATCGACGAACATGCGCAGGATGAACTCCCGTGCGGCCTGCGCGTCGCGCTGCGGCCCGTCAAACTCGGGGAAATAGTCCACCAGATGGCTGTGCATGATCTTCTCCTGCAGGATGTCGTTCTTGTTGAGGAACAGCATCACCGAGCTGTTCTGGAACCACGGATAGGTGATGATTGTGCGGAAGAGCGCTTTACTTTCATCCATACGGTTCTCGTTGTCGGACTCGACAAGCACTTGGTCATACTCGGACAAGGCCACCAGGAACATGATGGACGTCACGTTCTCGAAACAGTGGATCCATTTGCGCCGTTCACTCCGCTGGCCACCCACGTCCACCATGCGGAATATTACCGACTCCAGGTCGAACGGATATTCGATGATACCTACCAATACCATCATCAACCACATTTACCCAATATTAAAGAAATTTTTAACTTTAACCACAATTAAATCAAACGTGATTTCTGCTAACAAACAATGAACAGAGAGTTCTTGATAAAGGTAAAAATTCATCAAGCAAAAAATTATCACGGAAATGATCGCTGTCACAAACCATTTAGTACGCTGTATCATTCAGTGAACAAAGTGTTTTAAACCCACTATTCTACGATGAACACCAAAAATATCTAAGCATTATCACTCGCATACTCATACAGCAAGCGGCTGAACCAATAATTTCTGATGAGATATATTCGTATATACAAGAATACTACAACAACGGGCACCAAAAAATCGCAAAATATGAACGCTGCTGAATCGGTCATATAATTTCTGAATGGTAGTTTTGGATGGGCGTAGGAGATGCCAAGACCGCTTACAACGCCAGCAAGCCCTCAATAATTATACGGGCAAAAAAATAATTATCCCAAAAATTAAGCGATACACTCATCCAGGAAACTTTGTAAGTTTTTTCTCGTCATAACTGCGAAAAAAATTTAAATATTTACCGCTTACGGAGTGCGCAAAAATTATTTAACTTGACTATATTCACTGCTTCAAATCTGATATAAATAGACACTACCAAATTACGAATCGCCAAGCGTGCATCATAGCCAGTTCTCTACGTTATTCAGTACAGGTTACCTTGCACACCAGTGGTTAACTAAAAGCAAAACAGCACTTCTAATCGCGGCAAAAGGTTATCTAGGTAGCTTCATTTCATTAAACTGATATACTAAAAGAAAAAATTGTAGAAACTTTGAACCAGAAAAGCTGTGACCACAATCTGCACTTTTTTGAAGAACATGACTATGCGTACCTGTCGTGGGCACACGGGCACGCAATATGTCCTGCTCGGTGGGAAGAAAGTCCGGACTGGAGATGCGGTCCAAGTCGGAGAGATAGTACTTGGTGGAGTCGTTCAGCTGGTACTCGCGCCTCCTATCGTACGCCTCCTGGATGCCGGCGTCGCCCCACAACGACTTGATGGCCTCCGGGAAGGGACTCTCGAAGGTGCTGACCGTCTCGTAATCAATCTGCTTGACCAGCTGCGCATTGCCGGCATTATCCGGGATGCGGAAGTTGATGCCCAGCGTCTCCATGGCCTTGATCATGGTCTGCATGGAGAGGAAGATGTTCTGGTAGATGAGACGGATGAAGCCGCGCCGGTCCTCGGCCGAGTAGCCCTGGCCGTGGATGATGCGCATCTGCTTGATGAAGGTGGACTTGCCGGACTCGCCGGTGCCCAGGAGGAGGAGTTTGATCTCGCGTCGTGCATCCGTCTTGTCCTTCTTCAGCTGGCGCTCGATCTCGGCGTTGATGCGCCGCTGCTCTTTGGCTTCATCGGACAGGAAGCAGGGCAACATGTCGCAGGGCATCTGAGCTGGCGCCAAATAACACACCACACACCCGCGCGGAATAATTGACACCGGCACGCTGACCGCTCACTGCACTGTCACCTGTGCAACAAAACCAACAATCCTCAAACATCTGTTCGCACACTCTACACTTCAATCAATAGATACTAACAAGACCGTCATCTTTCAATTTGAGACAAAAATCACGAAGAAAATTGAAAAAAACTAAAGTAACACGAATCAACGAAATTTAAACAAATTTTTCAAAAGAAAAAATCTCAAAAAAAGAATAATTTCCAAGAGATTCAAAGCGCTTAGATACGATGAAACATGATGGAAATAGTTTTAAATTCAGCGAGAAATCAAACGAAAATCAGTCTAAAAAATTCCACAAAAAATCAACAAAAAAATACAACAAAAACAGACTGATCAGCAGCAGTCGATCAATCACGAACCAGATTCAAATAAACAACAATATCACTATAGAAAAATCGCAGATGATAAAAAGAAGACAAGGAGAATATGACGAACCCTTAAGGTGAGCGAGCAAGAGTCCGCGCGCTGACGAATGATCAAAAGGCAAGAAGCGACGTCCGCGGTGTGTTCGGCGGGGCTTGTGTGTCCCCACGGGAAACCCAACGGAATTAATTTATATCACAACAACGCTCCGGTTCCCGTTGTCCCGTGGTAAACCCTGTCAAAACAAAGCGTCCCCATCAGAAAACAACGCAGCCGATAGTAGATACCATGGAAAGCGTCGGCCAACCACAAAAAGGCGCAGCACACACGCTAAGCCCATGACAATGGCTAGCAACCACAATAGCTGTCAAGATGCGAAACCAGAGCACGAAAACGCTCACAGGCACTCAAATACTTGTGCGCCGACTGCCACGGCTTCCGACGCCGCGCAGGCCATGGCAAGTAGCGCGCAATTAACGACGGAAATCATTACGGGTGAAGTGGCCAATCAGAAATTAGCAAACTGATTACCCACCAATCAACAAAATCATAATCAAAGTTTTTTAGAAATTACTCAGAATTCGAAGAAAACGTTCCCATTCACAAAATTATGCCCAAAGAAAAATTGCGAAATTTTTTATGGTATGGAACACGTACGAGGAGGTTTCTAGTGGAAGATTCTAGAGAACCAAATAAAATGACGACAGCGGAAAAATGGAAACCACAAAAACGATGAAAAAACCAGGAAACTGGAAACTCTGTGAAAACTCGGTTCTCAGAAAAAGTGTACTAAAATTCCGACGTTTCTGCCACTTACGAAGCAAAATAAAATTCCTTTGCGGATGAAAATGATCAATCCATGAGTATAAGGGAGATTGAGCAGCGACAATTGCCACCACACGGAACGCCGTTTCTGCTTTCTGGCGTGGATTACGGTTCCGTATGACGAATAGTGCACAAATCAAGAACGCCCTGCCTCACCAGTGCACCTCCGCCTCAGATCATGTTGGCAGGCCACGATGGACAGCAGGCCCCATGGAAATTAACGGCGAACTCGGAGAATACCCCCAAAAATCTCCAATACACCCCAAAAAACACACACGCGTCTACGCAGCACGAAGAATCAGCAATACAGCGTCTGCGCTGGTCGTAAACACTATGAGACACCATCAATTCCCTGTTGACACAGCATAATTTACACGGTTAAATAACGGAGAAACAGCCCAACGGTGAGCACGAGCCACTGGCATTCTGTGTTGGGCATAATAAATGTTCAATGGGGAGATAAAACATTTGGGCGAAAAATAATCTTCCTGCACGGATAAAGTCACATATTTGCCCTGGAAATCACGAAACCTGCCATCGAGACAACACACACAGCACATTGGCAGCATACAGCACACACGCGGTCGGAAGGGGAAACCTCAATACTTGGAGAGAAGCTGATGGATTCCCAAAAGAGTGGATGCAGCGGCAATAACCAGCGCTGCGCGGTCGCGGCACAGCGTGCGCAGCGCCGCCACGCCTACTTCCCCCATTCACTCGTCAAAACTGGTTGCCTGCACACACTGCGCAAAGCCAGCCGTCTCTGTGTGTTGGATGTAGGCCAACAAAATCGTTGCCTTAATTTCACAGCGATGAAAGTGTGCCGTCACCGTGACTTACTGTCCTTCCAACTCCACCATTTAAATTTAATTATAAAACAGAAATTTAAAAATTACAAAAAACAGCTACAAAGGCAAAAATATCCGGAAGAAATCAGAATATCCGAATAAATTTTTAGCACTGTCCGTGCATTCCATCACACGGGATGTAGCGGAATTCCATCAGCGCTAGGTGGATTTGGAAGTATGCATTCACCGCTTCTGTGGTAATTACTTGCAATATGATCGCGTAGCGCCATCTTTTATTGGTAAAGGTAAACTGGTTTCGTCCGCGTTATTGCACCAAAAACCAATCATAGGAAAAACTGTTGAGAAAATCAGGACGCAAGCAAAGGGAAAAATGTTTCGAAATCTCATCACAGTCGGAAATTCTTAACCGGAAACAGGTGATACAATTATCTGCCAGGTGAATTCCAATGGAATCACCAATACCAGTGTGGTCACATTGCACAGCTGTTGTCCTTTGACTCCTTGATTCAGCGCGCACGCTAAATGGTGGCAATTAAAAAAAGCCAGTCCGAAAATTAATTAATCTGTGAAACACAGCGTCAACAGGTTCATCCCTGAAGAACCTCCCCACCGTTCTTGCCTTTTTAATTTTATCATTTTTTTAATTTGGCCCGTGTTTTCTCTTTGCCTTGCCTTCCGTCATCTTCCATTGCTAGTCTTGCGCGATGTGCCTGTCAAGTGTGAAAGGTAAAAAAGCTGATAGAGCGTCAAGCATGTTGCAGTATGCTGAATATTCATGAATTTTCCCTTTTGACGACGCTCCGGGTTTTCTCAAAATGTTTCGACCAGGGACGGCATCGGTAGCACTTTTCGATAGCCATAATCGTTTCTTATGGGTATTTGCATGGTTATGTGATGATTTTGGAAGAACTATGGAAAATACCTGGGGCACAATTGCAGCGCGCAGCCGTGCGCTTGTTTTTTGCTAAACAGTAAACGGCGCTGCTTTCCTATGCAATTGCTAGTCACGTACACGTATTACGTCCTCTCCGTGTAAACAGTTAACAGTGATAAAAGTTGTTATGCTGCCCGAATATCTGGCCTGAACTAATTGCTCTGCGCTGCCAATATCCCTTAAATATTTTCTATAAAGTTAAATATTAAAAAACCAAATTGGGGAAGTTTTAAGCGGAGCTTTACTCGAGTCTTCCTGGTTCTTGGAAATTTTCGATTTTTCCCGTTTTTTATATCGCTATTTTTATATTTTACCAATTTTTTGGAAGTTAATGAGATAATTTGGAATTGATCTTGTATTAATTTTTCCACCGATTATAGAGCGGTAAGACGATCTGGGAAGCGGGGAGTTGCGCGTCAGAGCGTGTTTGACCTGGTTTGTTGATCGGATGTTGGAATTTAAATGAAATTTCTTGGACTTGATCCGCAGACACGGCTGGAATGTGCTGGGACATTGATTATTGTTGAGGGAATGATTATCGGCTGAGCGATATCGCCGTGTATTGTGCGGAGTGGAGATACTGTTGTGCGGCGGAAGATTATCAGGTAATTTCCAGAAAAAATGGAGAAACTTCTTAATTTTCGCAGTGCGTTTATTTGCGGTGATTTATCATTTATTTCTAAAATTCCATCGACAAACCGTATTTCATTAGGAATTTGTGGGTATAATTTTTGAATTTTTTACCCGTTCGTTTAGGAATTTGGCGAATTATTTTCAGATTTTTAAAAGCAATTTTTGACGTTTTTTCTGGGATTTGTTTCCGCCGTTTTGGCTGCTGTTTATATTCCTTGAATATTTGTCGTTTTTATTTCTTGTTGGGCATTTTAACCCAGTTTAAGAGCGACATATTAAAATTTGTAGGGAAAAATCAATACGATTAGATTATGTGATATTCTGTGTGACAGCTCGCAGGATAATCGCGGAAGGTAATCGTCTCAATTCGGTTATCATCGTGCCATGAATTTGTAAGTACTATCGCGTAGTAGCTCCGAGGCAGTCAGTTGTAAAATGGCTGTGTGACTGACTGTGTGTTTGATGATCGCACTCGTTCAGCCAGCTTTCAGACATAATTATCAATTCCTCGAAAAGAAAATTGCTGTGCGCTAGTTTCTATAAATGGCGTCGGTAATGAAGTGATACCTGAAACACATAAAAATTAAAAAATTTTCTTTTCTGGAAATTTAAATCATTTATTGATGGTTTACTGATGAGTAATGGTTCTGAAATGATTGTGCGTTTTCGACATATTTAACTGTAGAATAATTAATCCTCTGTTGTTGTTATTTTATTTATTTTTATTTGTTGACCATTTAGTTTCTTCGACGGATGCTTTTTTATTTTTTGCTTTTCTTACGAAAATACGTAATAAAATTATTTCTTCGTTTGTTTGTTTCGTATAGTTGGGCGAATCTTAAAAATCTTTCAATACTTTACGCATACTTTTTGCGGAAACAGTAGAATTAATGGAGGCTGATGTTTTTTGATGCATCACAGTGATCACACAGCGCGTGGACGATAAAGCATGACGGTGTGAAAGATTGCGAAAGAGCTGGCACGGGGCTGATGCAAAAGTGGAGCCTGCGATGCAGCGCGCGCAATGCATCTAGAGCAGAATACCGGTTAACGTTGCCGCTAGTTGGTAGGCGCATGCTGCTGTGCAGACAGATATCTGCCAGTCGGCTGCGTACTATAAACTATCGGAAGGAATGTCATAATGTCCTTCACCAGCATCCGCATCAAAAACAACATGCACACATTACTTATGCAACTGTTGTCCGCAGTGAAGTTTTTCTACGGCTGTTATTATATTTTGGTTTACCTGCGCTGACCACAAACAGATTCGTGAGTCGTGACGCATACGGTTTGCCGTTTCAAATTAATTGCGATTATGGCAGTAAAATGGCGGAAAAAATCAAATACGTGCGAACAAAAATTACGTAAATAAATTTAAATAATATAAAAAGGCTGTTTACAATTTTTTTAGCAATGACGAGAAAACTTTGAAAGCAAAAATCATGAGAATAAGTTGAACATTTGGATTGGAGAACGGTCATTGTAAAAGTATGAAATACGAAATAAAAATTGGTGATAGGAAAAGTCGGAAGAAAACACAGTTTATTGGATCGGATAAGTAAATTATATTTTATTCATCGATTAGACGATTACATATAATTCGCAGGAAGCATTCGTCTTGCGTTGGGTTGTGTCCGAGCCTTATCAGTCGTTAACTGGACATTGGAGTGCCGGCGTGTGGGACTCCATGACGCCTGTTGAATGTGGCAGTCGTCGGGTGCTGTCGGCGTGATGGAGCCAGCGTATCGTCAGCGCGAGCGGGAACGCGAACGGGACCGCTCACGCGACCACCGCGACAAGGAGCGCGGCCACAGTCGGGAGACGCGGGAGCGCGATGTCCGCCCGGTCACCCAGAAGGACCGCGATACGCTGCGCCAGCGGCAGGAAGCGCAGGCCGCCCGATTAAATACCCGCAACAACGCCAATGTCAACGGGATCGGCGCGGGATACCAGGACGATGGGATGCCGGTGTTCCCCAGGTTAGTTGAGCGTGGTCGGCGTTGCTTGACCTAACGGCTATTCTGATATAGGGAAATTGAGAAATGTTAATTTCGGCTGCTTTATGATTTGTCAAATGCGATTTATTTTCAGACGATTTTTTTCAGACGACGATTTTCAGACGATTTGTTTATGCGATTTATTTTTTTTGCGATTTTTTCTCTTTTCAGCATATATTGTTTAAACTTTAAACATCATTCATTGGTTTTTTTGAAAATTCTGATGGTCTCCAATGACTTTTTTTAGTACAAGCCAGTCAAGACAGAGTACTTACCGTCTCCAATTAGGAATTTTTATTTCCTTAGGAAATGCTACTGTTGCAGCTGCTTTTTTCCCCTTCGTTTTAAAGAGTTTTCCTCAAAATATTATTTTTTTAATGTGTGTTTTTATTGTAATAAAAAAAAACTTTTCATGGATTTTTTCACTTGTAAAGCAGCGAAAGTGGACTGTTGGGTGAGGTGTTTTTTTTGAATTTGGTTTTCTTATCAATTGAAAAATGGATGTTTACAGTTACATAGATTCCAGTTCTTTTGCTTTTTATTTTTCCTTTTTTTAATAGTACATTATTTATTTTGTCTGTGTAAAGCGGCCTCTTATACTGCGAAGGCTACAATCGGCGCAGGTTACTTCAATGAATTTCTTACTTTTTCTTTAATTTTTTTCTCCGGATTTACCGGTGGTATTTGTTTGATTAGAGCCTCGGCGCTGGATCACACCGACCCTACCGCGGAACGCACCCGGCGTCTCTTCGGTGACTTTGACGCGGTGCGCTCGCTGGTGAACAAGAAGGGCATCGAGGATCTGTCGGCGCTGCAGAAGACCAACGGCTACGGCCATCTGGACTTCGACGCCCTGCCGGAGTACGACGGAGGGTCGCGGCCCCGCCGACCCTCCCGCAGCTCCTCCACCGGCCGCCACAGCAATTCCTCGCGGCATTCCGCCCATTCCGACCGCAGCAGTCGCCCGCGCAAGCCCTCCGAGCACCACAAGGGGGGTCATCATGCCCCGCATCCGGAGCGCAGGAACGAGGCTGAACGCGGCGGCCGCAAGGAGGAGCGGAAGGCCGTCGTCAATGGGGTGGTGGAGAAAGCACCGAAAACAGGTGAGTGGATGGATGCCTTCAGGAATTTCGGCTATTTTTGTTACGATTATTTTTATTATGATTATTGTTTAAATTGTTTTTTTAATGCTTTCTTATTTTCGAATAACTGTACTCGCTTGAAAATTCATTTTCTTAAGAATTATTATTTATTGCAAATACACTCAAATGCGTAATCAGTGTAGTGTAATGGATTCAGCTCTCGCTTTTGCTGCTGACTGGTGCTGTTTAGATGAATACCTCGATATTTTCGAAAGTGCTGACGATGTAATTGGTTTTCGTTTTTTAACCGGGATGTTCGGAAATTTCTATGTTGCTAAGCAGAAGGTGTTCAGCTTTTTATATTTAAATGATAAATTAATTAAATTGCCTGTACATTCTATACGCGAAAATACCTGAATAATTTAGAGAAACACTACTAATCTGACTGAAAAAAATAAAAAATTTTAATAAAGGATAAGAAACTTAGAAAATGAGATTTCTAGGCAGTAATATTGAAATGTCCGTGTGAAAATGTTATTTTCTTGACACGATGCGTTTCTTACCTGTAGTGCCCGGCTCCGACACCACCGCTAGCCACATTCCCATCGCCGAGGCCATTCCCAGCCCGCAGTCTTCCACGTCGGACGCCGTATTGGGCCCGAAACCCGCCTCCCAGTCCCGCTTGCCGTCGGCCTCGCCCGACGTGGAGGCCATCGCCAGTATCCTCCGCGAGATGACCTTCCCCGCCATGTACAAAACCCTCATCTCGCCCCTCACCTCCCCCCGCCGGCCCTCCACTCCGCCACGTCCCCCGCCGACGGCTCCCGTCAAGGTGATTCCGGAGGATGCCAAGGAGAAACTGAAGGTGTGGGGTCTGGATTTGAGTGATAGTGAGACGTCTTCCGCCGACAGCGATTCCGATGAAGAGGGCGAGATTAAACCCACCACGACCGCCACCGTCGTCGTCCCGGAGGTCCCGGTGGTCGTGGAGGTGCCTGTTCCGGTGGTGCGGGCGGAGACACCCGTGCCCCCGCAGTCCCCGGCTACCGATGAGTCCTTCGGGTGGAATCTGTCCAAAATCGATTCGAAATTGACGCAGAAGAAGTTGACGCCGAGTTCCGTGGTGTCCACCGCGCCCAGTCCGGTGGTTCGGTTGGAGATGCTGAAGCCCTCCCCGATCGCGGAATCGAACGGTTTAAGGGAGATGGAGCAAGAGAGCGCGAAGATAACGCGTCTGGATAGCATTGAAGAGGGCGAGGTCAGCTCCCGGGAGGCGTCCCCGAAACACTCAACGCCCCATGCATCCCCGGGCGCGTTGCTGGCCGGATTAGGCACGCCGCTGCGCAACATCGGCGCGGCAATCTCCCCGATTCCCAAAAGCGGGAAGAAAGCCAAATCCCGCAGTAAATCCACCTCCCGGAATCATTCCCGACGAGGTTCCCTGGAATCCGCCACACCACGAGAAATTCCCGCCGCAGTCGACGTCGTTTTATCTGAAGATACGGTCGATGCGAAATTTAGTCAGGAGCCGGAAAAAGTCATTGTGGAGTCGACGTCTGGGGTGCTGGGCGGGTCTCCCGGGGACTCCGTGGCCAATCAGACGATGATGCTGGATGACGCGGATAATGATATGATGGATCTGGATGAGGATATGGGCCCGTTAATTGTGGAGAAGTCGGCGGTGTTGGTGGCGGCGCGGCGGTCGGGGTCGAAGGAGACGTCCCCGCCGAATTGGGAGAACACTGTGCGGAAGAGTCCCTCACCGCCGGCGCCCGTGACGCCCATTGCGCAGATGGTGCAGCGGATTCTCAAGTTGAAGCCGCGGGAGAAGCGCAACGGGGAGGATTTCGTGGTGAAGATCCCGTTGAATTTGCTGGAGCGAATGCCGTTGAAGGTGGTCAACGGGGAGAAGAACGGGAAGAACACGACGGAGGTGGTGGTGGAGAAGGTGAGTGGTTGCCAGAAAGTGTAGTAAAAATCTAAAACAGTTAAGTATGGTTCGGAGCCGAGACGCAGAATGTCGGTTTACAAATGTCTGATTTACCAACCGGGTTGCACAAAATTGCATAGTGTAAAAGTGGTATAATCGTAGTGCAGTGGCATTTTAGTGTCAGCCTGGTTCTTCCGCGATTAAGGCGTTGAAATACCATTGAATTTTCTCAAGGAAAAGGTTATGAAGAATTAATTCTGATTACAAATTTTTTTCCGGCATTTTTCTCTGGTTTCTGACCATGTTAGTAGTCTCAAGATCAAGATCCCTGAGAATTTTCCAGATAATCATTAATAATTACATTGACTGAAGTATTAAAGTATTATTAGTGAATTAACTGAATTTAATGTTAAATAAATGTTTACTACTTTGTTACATAAAATGTTGAATTTTAATTAACGAATTATTTTTAACTGAAATATTTTTATTTAAATTTATCAAATTAGTAAATATCTAAATTGTTAATAAATAAAAACTGAAAATGGAATTTTGATAAATGAAATATTTTAAATTGCTAAGATAAAATTCATTTAATTCGCTCACCTGTAGTTTGTAATTGCAGGAATCCACTCCCGTCAAAGTCTCAACCCCGCCCACCGGCACCCTCCGTCTCCGCCTGCAGGTGCCGAAACGCGCGGCGCCGCCCGTCGCCCCCAAACCCACCGAATCACCGGTTGCCACGCCGCCGCCTCCCACTCCCGAAAAGAAACCGAAAAAAGCTGAGAAACCCCCCGCCGCCGTCGCCGACCCCGTGGAGGCCCGTCCCGCTGCTCCGCCAACGGTGGATGAGGCGCCACAGGACCTGCGGATGGTCAAGAAGCCCCGCGCCGACAAACCCTCCGCGGCGGCTCCCCCGGTGACGCCCAAGAAGACCGCAAAACGTCGGCGCTCCCTGGACTCCTCCTCCGACTCGGAGGACAGTGTGGGCGGCCACAACGGGACCTCCGCCACCAGCGACGTGGTGAAGAAGACCCCCGGGAAGTTGGACAGTATTTTGAGCAGTCTCCGGAAGCGGTCGAAGAACAGCGGGAAGGAGGGGAAGGAGACGGTCAACGGGGAGAAAAAGGAGCCGGTGGAGGTGGTGCCGGTGACCCGCGTGGAAAAACCCGCTCCGGTGCCTCCGCCGCGGACCCCGACACCCCCGGTGAAGGAGGTGGTGGCCCCCGTCCCGCCGGTGCCCCCGGAGACCCTGTGGACGCAGATCCTGGCCGGTCTGGAGCCTCTGGACACCACCATGAACTTTGAGCGGCAGCGGGGGCTGGCGCGCAAGCTGAAGACGGAGGCGGACCAGCTGGATAAGCGAGAGCCGTCCACGCAGTGGAAGCGCTCGGCCATCTACCTCCAGAGTGTCGTGCACTTCGCGCTGATGGGGAAATGCACGGAGAAGAACCCGAAACAAGCCCTGGATATTTATCAAAGCACCGTGCACATGTTGAACCACTGCCGCCTCCCCGGGAGCCCCAAAGAGGACACGACCCTCATTGTAAAGGTCACGCGCTACCTCCACTTCCGGGCGTTGGCGATATTATCCATGAAGATGTACGGGTTCAACGAAGAACGGTGCATGAAGGTCGGCCGCAACATCGACTACCTCCGGAAGCACCCCCCGGGGGCGGCCGCTCCTCCGGCACCGCCGACCAAACCCCCCGTCAGCAAATCACCCAGTCCGTCCCCGGGGACCACCGCCTCCCCCTACAGCGTCGGGTCGACGGGCAGCGGCACCGGAAGCGATAAACCGCCGGCGCCGAGTAACGGCCCCCCGGGGGCGGCGGCGGGGGCCGATCTGCCGGGGCTGGGGGACTTCCACCAGCTGGCGTTCCATCTGGTCAACGGCTGGTGGTACTGGAACCGCGGGCAGGAGCTGTTGGCGTTGAGCAGCGCGGAGAGTGCCGAGGTGAGGGCGTTTGAGGGGTGGTTACAAGGAACCGCCCCCCTGGAGGTCAGCGCCGGGATTGAGCAGCTGGCGCGGCACCTGTACGCCGCGTTGTGGGTGCTGCGGGCCCTGCCCGAGGGGCGGTGACAGGGGGCGTGTCGAGGGGCCGTATTATCCGTTTTTGCACTCAGGGTGGTGTTTTTTCGTTCGTTCGGCAGAATTTCGGTGGATTTTGCAGTTACTGGTGTGTTTTTTTTTTGCTAATAGAGAGTTTCTAATTAATGTTTAATTTTTATTTATTTTTAATTGTGTTAGTGCGTTTTAAAAGAGGGTTTATTTATTTTTTCGGTCGGTTTATTTATAATAATCGGGATTTATTCCGTGAGCGCATGGTGGTGCTACGTTTATACAGTCAGCGAAGAGTTTACAAAGTTGTGACATGGTTGTTTAGACAAATTTGAAGCTGTTTTTTTCCTCGGATGTTTACTGACCGCTTGATGTTTCGTGAAGCTAATAAATCGTTCTGATATTGTATCATTATTTAAGTATGTCCATCAGAGCCGCAAAAAGAAATTCGCGTGACATTTTAAACATTTAAAGGGATTAGAAATATAACAGAATACTATTTAAAATAAGAATGGAATTTTTAAAAATAAATAACTACAGTAGAATATATTGAAAAGGAAATTAAAATGGGATTTAAACATTGAAACGTCTTTGATTGGCGAATTACCCATGATCAAGCTAAAAGTAAGTACAAAAACGAACGAAATTTTTCATAATATTAACTTGCCTAAAAAAACTGGAAAGAAACGAAGTAATGATTCCCCATAAAATTAATAATCAAGTACAAAACGAAGTAAAAATCAGTTGAAACGGATTTTTATATTATCAAGAGGTTTAACGAATGTCAGGCTGTCAGTCGCTTTTTATCACTTGAATCGGATGGAGACTCCTCAGCCATTACACTACAATATTTGCCACAAGAATAATTAGCTTTCAATGAAACGTCGGGAGTTCTGCATAGAAGTATGTTTGAGATTTCTTTTTATGATCGTGTTCTTGTTAGTTTACTTGTTATTATTTTTCTGGATTGCGAGAAACATTGGCAATTAATAAGAACGTAATACCGGTATATGGCGATACTCGCATTTCGTAATAATAATTTTAATAAACGATTAACCAAATCAAACCGAAATTTTAACTGAAATAAATATACATGCATTTTTAAGACTATGTTTCACCGCAGTTTGAAGTTACATATATTTTAGTAATTTTTTTCAGTGATCTATAAAGACCGGAACATTAAGCAAAACATGACCTTAAATTATGCAGCATGACTCAGCAGCGGAAGTTTGTAAACTTCACCGTTATGATGGGCAGACGCGATAAGCCATATTTGGCAAATGCTGACTTTTTTCTCCCTTTCTGCGATATGAAGATTTTGCCGATGGCGCGATAACGGAGAAACAGACACACACACGCAGACGGAAACCACGCAGCGGTAATGCTGCAGCCGTTGTCAGACGCAGTGGCGCATGTAACGCGGCAGACTTCCTTCTCCCAAAACAGGCTTAAACAGCCCCTCATCTGCACAACAAGTTAACAACCGGCAATTTTTTATAACTGACAATTTATTCACATGTGTATGCTACAGGTTTCCCACATTTACGCATCACCAACGCAGATAACTTGCAAAATTGTTTTTAAAACAATTGCAATTTGCTCTTTGACTTTGGTTTGTGCTAGTGAAGCAGTAAAGAAATACCAATAAAACAAACGAAAATTATTTATAGTAATTTTTTATGATATTATTATTAAAAATATAATTATTTTTTTAATTTTCTTTAATTTTGCCGTAAGTAGCGAAATATACGTAATAACAGATCCAGTTAATGTATAATTAATAATCATTCAAACACGTTTTAACATCTGTTAATTAATGTTAATTGTGGCGCATGGCCACAAGAAGCTGTATGTCCCAGTGTGTAAGATGCAGATTTATACAGGGAAATGACTGCGCTTTCTGTTTATTTTAACCGCGTCTGGTGAAATCGTTTTTGCCTCGCACTGCCCAAGCATTAAGCATCAACAATCGCTGCACTGGAAGATTTTGTGCATTTTTTTCAGCAGTTAGAATTCGCGGATGACCGCGTTTTACTGCGATAACGGCCAGTGTGTGAGTGCACGGTTTATGCATGTGTTGTGATGTGATGGCGAATGCCGAAATCAGATTAACACAGACGCAACAGGCGCCACTTTCCACACCGGCAAAAATAACGCCGGAATTCTTCCACACAACACACTTGGACGATTATCATAATCGGCTATTTTTTCTCACCCGATTGATTATGCTGCCATTTTCATGGTGCAGCTATTTCGTTTCCAGTTTTGGGTTTCCAGTATTTGTATACCTTCCTAAATCGGTTTTCTCCCCGTTATACACACTTCTTCACTGGACTTAGCCGGAACCGTTAATTTCTGTCGTTAATTAATGTATTAAATTATTCTGTGTTTTTGTTGGAATTACGCTAGGATTTGGGCGTATTTTAATCCGAATTCCCAACGCCAACAGGTCAGTGAAGTACATGTACCCACTTTGCACACTTTTATATACAGATATACTGTAGAATTTGCAACCGCAGTGTTTATTAATTCGCAAATTTATTTTTATTTACCTACAAATGACGGAATTACTGCTTAGTTTCGAAAAATATCCAATAAATAGTCTACCGCAGTTGAATGCATTGTGCTAATACTATACGAAGCATTACGAATACATTTGCGTGCAGCTGAATATCAGTTAAAATTACATCATGTCACACGTGTGCCGTTTGTTTTATTTTTGCATTTAAATAAATTATTTAAATTGTAAATTTTTTTTGTAGATAAATTTTTTTCTATGGCATGACGCGATGCTTTTCGATATATTAAATCGTCAACCTTAGAATATGGGAAAACACTTTCAACCACAAAACAAGCTATTTTCCATGCGCATGCAGTGCACGTAAGTACTCGTATATTCGATAAGCTGTTTCTATCGATTTATTGTCGATGAGATGATTAATTTTAAAAGGCGTTGAATCAAGTTAAAGCAGTACAAATGCATAACAACCCCGTCCTACACCTGAAATACCGCAAATCCTAAACGTTGAGAATGCACATTTTAAAAGCCCGTAATGAGAACGCCAGCGGCCGGGGGCCGGAAAGTGACCAGTGGCCATTTGGCGGGTGATATATTAATAATTTAATATAGCATGTTGGGAAATAAGTCCCGGTGTGGGCCGTTCGCGCCGTTGTACCAGGCACGCGCGCACCGCTGTTTCCGGCCAATGGAACATTCGTTACATTTCCCCACGCCGCGTCTACCTGGCACCGACACGCCCGGCGATCACTGCCGGTCAGCTCACTTTCTCCCTTCCCTCACTCGGGTAATTTCTTCCTCCCGGCTGGCAAGCCATTTGCACGCTGTCAAATGGCCGCGTGCTGAGAGATCGCCGGCCCTGTAATTAAATCATCGCGCCGCTGTACAGAATCGTCGTCTTGTACCATCACCGGTTCACCGTCAGCTAATCATTTCAACACTCGTCCACATATCAAAAGTTTATGTAAAATAATAGTTTATGCGAAAAATTACGAAAACGAAAAACAGGAATGGAATTTATTATATATACTTACGAGAAGATATTAAAATTAAAGCTAGTTTGTTAATGTTATTATGACAGTGTATATTTACCATTTATTTAATATGAATCTTTCGTGTGTTATAAATCTACATTATGATTTATTACTTACTTTTTGATATAACTTGCTTTATTAAGATTTTAAGGAACACGTTCATAGTAATACTTTATCGTTTGCCTAATTGATTTATTTAAGTTATAGACTCCCTGATCAGAATGAATATTATCGATTAGGCATGAAAACGATGAACTGCTATACGCCATGGTAATTGCTATATTTTTTTATTCGTGCAGTGCCAATGATTGTCGTAAATACAGTAATATGCTTTTGTAATACGTATGTATCTTTAATTGCAACGATTACTTTGCGTCTGGTACGGGTGCGCTCCAATTCGGTTTGATATAATTTTCATATTGTTGAATAATGTAATTTCTGTTTTCAAAATCAAGCAAAAAAATAAACATTGTTTCGCAAAATTGTCTGTTCGTGAGAGGAAATTAAATTATGGATGACGATCCACAACGACACGATATATTGCGGTTAAATTGCAGAGATGAGCGCGCTCGGCATTAATTTAACCAAAGTGGTACGGGCCGGCATAAAAACGGATAAATTTTTTTCTCCACAGTACTCAAGGATGCACGGAAGCGTGGTTGCGTGAATCGTGTGGGAATTGCATTGGCGGTGTGAATAAATCCCACTTAGACGCACGCAGCTTCCGGTTTGTTTAGTCTAGCCGGATTCCCTGGCTGCGGTGTTGGTGTTACCTGAGTACGCAAGCGATGCGGGTTGCCCTTCGCCGCTTTCCGCCAAATGGGCACAGAAACAAAAAGTTGCGCCGGCCGCTTTCTTTGTCTTGCGTTATAAAAACTGTGTAATAATCTCGGAGAAATGGAACATTTATAACGTTTCCGTGCTCCCAACAATCCCCGCGCGATCTGGAGCAATCAGATTAGAGACACGGTGTGTGTGTGTTTGCCGGTGTCAATCGATCTGCCCTATCGATTTTTCCACTCATTTAGTTAATTTTGGGAAATTATTTACTTACAGGTTATGACGTTATTGGCAGTTATTTGACCGTTAATGCAATTGTTCAGCACCCGTTTAATTTAACTTTTTCGTCACCGGTACATAGTTTATATTTTATTTTAATTTATGCGTTTCGGATGTATGTTAATTTATGTCATATGTATATGTATTTTTTATATTTTTTTATTGGTTAATAAAGCTATCTTGTCACCTAACGTTTTTGCTGCAAGCTTAATTAAAATATAATTTTTTCCTACAGTTTTTCGTATGTCCATGTCATTCGGCTGTTTTAAATTTTGACAATGAAGTCAAACGCAAAAACCGTAGCCCATTGATCGGGTAAACAAAAAGGCGCTAATCTGTGGAGTCACGGATAGAAACCTGGCGTGGTGTAATTACACAGTCGAACGCACTGATTTGCAGGTGGACGGAGAATTGTCCTGTGTCCCGGACAAACTGACCGCGACACGGCACAACAATGTCCACATTCATCTGCCAGCAATCCACGTGGAACACAATTAAAAATGCACGCTGAACGCTCATTGGCCAGTGCTGCTTGTTGACCACTGGTTTGCAAGCGTCGCATTAAGTTTAAACTTTAAACGCTAAACAGCGTCGTGAAGCGCCTTTAAGCTTTATACGTACGTACAAGTAAACCGGTTTTTGCACTGTCGTTTGACCAGCGGCTAATATCAGAGTCGACGCGGTCGTACGCGTTGCGCAACCGGATATTTCGAAGCCAGCGCAGTGCAGGCTATATCCGGTTTGAATGGAGCTGCCGTGGATTGTGTACGACACCCAGAGCACGTACGCGCAACAGGTGCGACTCTACTCAAACCGGTTTTAGAATGCACCTGCGTACAACCGAGCCGAGTGAAAGCGATGCGAGAAAAATGATTGCATGCAGTCCAGCGTATCTGTAGTACCGAAAATAGCGCTGGACTTTATAAATATTCATACGCGTCGATCCGCTTAGCCAGCCAATCAGATCGTCTCTGTCGGGTGGGCAGCATTGTTGCAGTCGCCGCGTGCTACCTTTCAAGCTAGAAGCCGTCATTGGACGCCCTTTGGACGGTGTGTTGCATAGATGGAGATAGGAGAATGGTAATCAGTTACCACATTTGGCACCGTCCGCGCATTTCGAGCCCAATGTTTATGGTTTTTGTCCAAATGCGTTTTTTCACTCGGGTTTGACTCAGAACGGAAGATTTCTCCGTGCTTATTCTGACCTTTTTACACATCGTTGACCGGTTATTTTTGTCCTGCTTGTGGTGAGTTGACTCAGTATTTATCATTTTACACGAACGCTTTCAAAGCGGTTTATGCGTAATGGCTTATTAAAAGGTCACTTTTCTTTCTTGCTTTTTAAAAGACTTTGCAAAATTTGTAACAGATATTCTGCAGCTTTTTCATGATTAAATGCTTAATTCTAATTAATTTTGCATTATAAACTGGTTCCGCTCTTTTTCTCGCTGTGGTCAGAATGCTTAACGAAGCGCACTTGTCACATCTCTTTTTCTCCCGCTTTTTTTAAAGTTGTTGATAAAAAGCGGGTGCTTTTTCCTCAATGCGGCTGTTTGTGATTCGTAACTGGGTTGAACAGCTGGACAGTCCCCGCTTTTTGTTACCGCGCTTCTTTTCCGCTTTATCAATGAAGATGTACTCTAATCTTTTTTCTGCTGTTCGCTAGTCGCAGCTCACACTGGCCGCGCTTTCTTGGCAGTTGTTGATTTCCGCTAATGGACTGCTTCCTCGGTTTTTCCGTTAATCGCTCGGTTTCAGTTTTGCATTCAGCACTGCATGGTTTCCGGCTTCGATCAGCATAATGAACGTCGATTTTGCACGATTAATCTCAAATTAATTCGTGCTTTGCTTCTTCATTTCTTTTCCTCGTTTCATTTTTTTCGAATTGTACAAAAGTTAATGAATACTTTACAAACTGTCTCATAATACCTGGCATGTTTTTTAATTTGATGTAACAGTTTTTTTTGAGTTTTTGTGGCACACTGTACGCTTTTCTTAATGCACGTCGGTTTAACTAAATATGTATCAATAATATTTCGTATTGTAATTACTGAATGCGTATTTGTCTGTATAAAATGCATAAACGGGGCATTTGCAGATGAGTAAGTCTAGCCGATAATCTGCAAAGGGAATTTATGTTGTTGAGATTATGGATAACGGTCATGTTTTGGCGCAACCGGCCTCCCATGGTCAGCAGCGCTATTCATCGTGGAATATAAGTTCGCCCGATCTGCATGTGAGTTTCACTAGTTATTTTATTAGTAGCCGTTGGAAGTATAAAATACGTCGCGCTTGTCGTCAGCAGTATACTTATAACAATTTTTGCAATTTTTCGGCAGTATTAATTATCATATTATTTATTATTTTAAAGCTGGATTTTTCACCAATAATTCGGCATAGGAACCTTTGAATCGACAGTTAGATGGTTGATTTTAATTTAAATTATCGATTGCCGCCACAAAAATATTATAAATAATTGCTAAATTATTTGTGTATGCAGTAAAATGAATGTTTTAATAGCGTACTAATTACACTGATTTAATTTGTGCACGGCCAGTGTATCTGTAGCGTCGTTGGATGCGCGGTGATTGTTTTTTACCGTGCTGATATGATGGTAATCTGGCGATGGGAAGCGGTGATAAGACGCAAGACAAAAAGTAATCTTGCTCCAAATTCCGGTCGTTTGCAAAATGTTACATTACAATTAGCGGAAGGGCAGAGATCAGTGTAGTGCTAAACGGCTCCGTATCATTACCGCCCGGCCAGGAATTGGTGGTTAAATCTGTAACAGCGGTGCCCAGTGGCCTTATCACCCGTGCCATCGTCCATCCTTGTAACGATTTCTTTTGCCAGCAATTTGCATATGTACCTTCATCCATGTTGTCTATTTAAATTGAATTTTTTATTTATTTCTAGTTCTTCTCGGAGAAAAAAGAATTTTGCCTAAATTTATACAAATAATATAGAATAATTCCGTTTTTAATTTTTTCCAAAAAAATTGCCATTGGTTGAACAAATTATCCAAAGAACAACCGAAATACAACACATAATATTTTTGTATTCACCGCCAAAAAAATCACCGGTATTAAATTTTTACGTTTAACATAACATAACATAACTTTTTTGCATTAATATTTTATTTTACCCGGAAATTTTCGTTTTGTCTTATTAGGATAAGTTTTACAACCATTTAATCAGTGTCAACCAGTTGCATTTGAGTACACCTGTCATACAGAGTAGCATTCGTGGAAAAACTTTGCGTAATTTTTTTCGTAAAATTAACAGCGCAAAAAACATTAGCGAAAGGTCAAAACTTATTGTTGGCCTGTACAGATTTAACCAGCAATTAATAATAATTTTTTCTCCCTCCACACTGACCTCAAGACACCACTAAGCGCAATTACACGACAGAAGGGAAAAAAGCACTAGCATATAACCCGAAAACTAGCAGCAATTTCGTATGTTTTTCCCACAGGTTAATCGCTGCAACATTACTACGTATTAACCCGTAATAATGTGCGGTAAGTTTTTTGTCTGCTGTTTTCCAGAAGCTGAATCTGACCCATCCGGCAGCTGTGGCGGCCGCTGCAGCCATTTCCAAAGGTAAGATAATTATTTGTCGTATTTGTCGGTAGGCAAAAAAACCGGCATTTTACTATATATGCCGGCCATTGGGGAAATGCACGAGGCTAATTGCATACTGCGCAGCGTGCACGGCCAATCATTGCGAGCGGCCATGTGTGCCGGTGGTTCGATCAGTGGCTAGTACAGCATTCAGGTCATTTTCTCCGCTAAACGATTCTCTATCAATATAACTAAAAAAATATTATGACAAAAATATTACATTTTCTCATACTATATAGTTATGATGTCATTATTAGTACTTTGTAAATAAACTTACTATCAGGCTTTATCAATTACATATTTTGTAAATTACATATTTTTTAAAAAGAATTTCTTAAAGCGTTTTTAGTATGCTCTCTTATTATTGTTTTTAGAAAAACTTGACATGCAAAAAATACCAGCAACTACGCATAGAAGAAAAATATAAATAAAAAAATAAGATAATTGTAATGTGCACTATATAGATACATATAACTTTTGAATAATGAATTAATTGTCAACGTTTTACATAATATTAGTACGTTGGCCGACAGGCAGCGTGAATTACGACATGGTCAGTCTGGAGATGGAGGAGCCGTCCGCCGGGACACCGGGCCATGGACATGGCGTAAACAGTGACCTTTACGGCATCCAGGCAGCAGCCGTAGCGGCCCAGCGCTCGGCCAACGCCGCGGCGGCGGCGGCCGGTTATCACAGCCACCACGGCGCTGGCCAGCTGCTGCCCGGCTCGGTGATGATGGGCCACTTCCCCGTCCATCATCCCATCAGCAAACAGGTGGCTTCTCGGAAATATCCCTGCAAAATGTGCTCGCAGGTAGGTTGTCAAATATTTCAATATTCTGAAGTAACAGAATTTTTTTACGAATTTGTGTGCTTATTTTATTTTACATTTTTTCTAAACTACCATTATACTGAATTTTACATTGACCGATTTGGAGTTTCTGGCCTTTAATCGACAAGGGCTTCTACTCCTTTAATTTTATGCTACTGTTCATTGTAAAATTTAGTACTGCTTAAGATAATTTGTCAGAAAATTATATAATACTAGGGCAAATGAATTAAATACTTGCAATAACTGTATATAACTTTTAATTTTTATTATTTACTGTTTAATTTCTGAGTTCCCAAAATACTGTAATTATGGCAATTAAATCATAATATTTATTAAATGCGGTTTTTCTGGTTCGCAATGTGCCAAGAAATTTTTAAATGCACAGAAATGACCTTTATTTTTCGGTTGTGGCTATTAGAATTTTCTTTTTTTCCTGAATTTCGTTGACGTCAGAAACATCTCGATGATTAGCGTGGGGAGTTTCATAAATGGCTAATTATTCAAAAATACCGCATTCTGGAAATGAAACCGATTCAGAAAATCCGCATAATTCCCGTCATATTGTGGTTTTTTATGCAAATCAGGAAACGTCGCCCTGACAGCGACCATTGAGACGTCCGCGCGCCACGGCCATCCGCTTCCGGCGTGTCTCGCAAAGCGCATTGTTGACCTTTTTTTGCACGGGCTGTTTTATCTGACCGCAGAAATCATTGACAGGTAGCGCACGTCGGCAGCTGTTTTAAAAATAGAGGCCACACCCGGCCGCGCTCTTTTGTCGTCGACTACTCAACGGAGGGTTTTTATTATCGGAGACCAGTTTTTATTCCCGATAAAAACCCAACCGCAGCAAATACCGTGCTGTTGTAGTTATGGAAAAAAGGAACTGCATTTCTAATGAATGAAAACAGCTGATGACGGCAACCGTTGCTCGTTTTGCTTGTTTGCATAGCATGCAAAGGTCAAACGGTTTGTTTACTGATTTTTTTTAAAATGCGATATAAATTTTGAATGACTAAAAAGTGACATTGTTGATTTTTATATTCATTTAAATATGAAACACTTATCGTTTCAGCAGTAAAAAACATCCAGCACTGTACTTACATTTTTATAAATTTTAAATAATATATTGCGAAAAATAGTGAAAAATTTATAGTTATAGTAGGAAGCAGAAAGGTCATATTCTCATACTGTTAAGTAGTACCGTAAAAAAATATAATTATACTTTATTAATAAAAATATCAATAAATAACTCATCTATGTAACTATGTATATTAAAATGTATATTTCATTGTCTATATGTGCAGACACATAAATACAAAAAGGCATCCTTGCTTACCTGTGCTTGATGTGTCGAAGATATTTCCGATTTTACTGCGAAATGTTTTGTGAAACTGCGGCTTCGCCGAAGCCGTTGCATGCCGGTTGTTTTGGATATTGTCCAAAATTCAGGGGTACATTGCGCACTGCTTTGAAGGCCGCGTGGTGGAAAGGTCACGCTGTATAGAAGCAAGGCGGTGTGTGTTGGATGTCGGCAGTGGTAGAACCGGCGCGGCCGCGGTTGCCGTTCCAACAGGTTCTTTCACGGTTGTGTACAGATATGTGAGTGTCGACGCAACCATGTGCATCCACGCCGGCGTTCGTGACCATGGATGAGGAACAGTCGAGAGAAAACGTCCTTAATAACGCTCTTGTCTCACCGACCACGTCAGGCACATCGACAATGCTGTTGTGTGTAGGTATTACCAGGAAACCAGGAAAAAAAATGGCCAAACGAAATCATTTGCCAATTCGAGCGGAAATTATGCGCTGTACACTGTCGTCCACTAGTCGTAACAGGCAAATCGAATTTTATCTAGTCAATCAGAATATAATTTCGTTTCCAAGACCGGTTTTCATGAGTGCGAAAAATTTTATAGACAATTTTTAAGGCTTTTAAAATCCATTAATTTTTTACTCGATAGTAATAAGAAGAAATTTAATAAACAATTTTTTATGACTTTTTGAAAATCATTTCACTTGATAACAATGAGTTTTCTTGCAAGCAAGCCTGTCAAACGTTTCAAAACCATTTGATAATTTTTTTGCAGCACTGCTTTAATTTACTCTTATCACTGTAATTTGTGCCTTGATTTGCACATACAAATAATTTCACAAATAAATTTAGAATTTGATTGAAAGATCATTCATTTTTATGCCGGTTACACTGAACAGCTATTCCATTGTCTGTTCAGTGTGGGAAACACGCACAGCGCAAGCAGTGGGCGAGGACACTTCCCCCCAACGCCAAGCGCAACAGCAGACATAAAGTCCAATCATGTGGAAAATAATCAGTGTGCGTACACGGCTGCAACTGCCCCGCAGTTTGTCGGGTGTGCACCAGTGGCTTTTTGGAGCAGAGTCAAGAAACAACAGCCGACTTAATTAATTTCCCTCTGAGCAACCCCACCAACCGGCAAACTGCACCGACTGCTTTGACTGTTCGATGAGCATGAGGCTCAGGCTGTTGTTTGTCGCTGACGGCGAAGGAATGGAGAGGTCACGGCGCTGTCTTTTCAGTAGAGAACGTCGTCAGCAAAAGCGCATGCAATAATGTGGCGCCGTTAGCGGTGACCTTTCATTGCGCAAGATTTTTTGTGGGGCGCGATCGATGGGTTGGAGTGATTTGCATATGCCTGTTGCGTTACGTAACCAGACCTTTCGACACTCATTAGCAATGAGTTCGACTAGCCGCGCAACCGCCTTTAAGCAGAAAATTATTCTGTTACATTCGAGTGCAAATAAATCGTACGATAATTACGTGGACAAATTATAATATAACAAAAAAATAACTGCAAGATGGCTGGATGATACTGAATGCATTCGCTTGATAAAATTGAAGAAAATTTAATGGACAAAAAATTACTGGATTTATCCAAAAAACATTTGCCCGGAAATAATTTTATTTGGGTACCTAAAAAATTTATTTAAATATTTTCGTAATATTTTTTGAAAATGATGTGCGGAAGATCGTTCATCTTTTAGCTGATGTATAACAAATTATGTGTTCTTCAAAGTCAAACTTCTTCCAGAAACCTTTGAAACCTTCCTTATTATTCAAATCGAATAACTCTTTGTTTTGCTAAAATTACGGTATACTATACACCATTGTTTTCGGCAGATCTTCGAGTCGAAAACGGAATACCAGATGCACATCCAGTCGCACATGCGCGAACCCAAACCCTACAAATGCTCGCAGTGCAGTAAGTCCTTCGCCAACAGCTCCTACCTATCGCAGCACATGCGCATCCACCTGGGCATCAAACCCTACCACTGTGACATTTGCAAGAAGAAATTCACCCAGCTCTCCCATCTGCAGCAGCACGTCCGCACCCACACCGGCGACAAACCCTACAAATGCCACCACCCCGGCTGCCACAAGGCCTTCTCGCAATTAAGCAACCTGCAGTCGCATTCGCGCTGCCACCAGACCGATAAGCCCCACAAGTGTAACAGCTGCTATAAGTGCTTCTACGATGAAGCCGCGCTGCAGGAGCATATCCCCAAGCATAAGGACTCCAAGCATCTCAAGACGCATATCTGTAGTTACTGCGGGAAGAGCTATACGCAGGAGACGTATCTGGCACGGCATATGGCTAAGCATTCCGATAAGATGTTGAGTGGAGGTGGAGGAGGAGGAGGCGAGAAGCAGCGCCATGCGGCGGCGGTGCAAGCGCTGGCTAGTGCCGCTAACGCCCGCAATACAAGTAGGTGACCTTTGAGATGGACACAAAACGCCACCGTTCATGTAATTCGCGGTTGAACGAATTTCGTATACCGTGTAATCTAGCATCGGAAAGGTCACAGAAGTTAGTTTGAACTCACATAGCGTTCAGTACAAAGTTAAATTAAATTTTGTAAATTATTTACAAAAACACAAAAACAAATTGATAATAACATTAATATTTTATTTCCTTTATATATTGCATGTTTTTTTTTAAAACTTCTATCGTCGAGCAATGTTTGCATGTAGAAATACTGAACAAAATTTATTTTTATTATTTTGTAAAATAAATACATCAACAATTTATGATTATTTAATTCATGTAGCAACTACTGTACATGGCTGTTTTAACGCGTTATTTTGTGTTAGAATTATTCGGGTTATTGACTTACTGGATAATAGTGGATATTCGACTGTTGGGAAATTTACAGGCATTTATGTTTGAGTCTTAAATACTTTGGATCTTCAGTAAAACGTTAAACACGAAAATGTGTACTTGCTTGCACGGGCTTCGTTTACCTGCGATTTTCTTTATTCCGGTTCTACGAAACTAATCGTTAATTTTTTAACAGACGACATCTACTGGCCGAAGCAGGAGTCCAGTCTGGACATGTCAGCCCTGCACCACTCGCGCCTACCGCTCTCCGACGATCTCTACAGTCCCATGGCCACGCCCTACAGTTACAGCTACCCCACCCCGCTGCCCCAGTACCCCGCCGGCCACACCCCCTACGACACCATGCCCCCGGGCAACAAATACCACCACCGCGGCAACCTGTACTACGACCCGTACAAACCCATGGACAACGGGAAGAACCCGCTGACGGCCGCCGAACAGTTCGGCTACAACGGTGTCCAGATGCGCAGCTTCAACTTCGGCATGAACGGCATGCCGACGATGCTGGAGGGCGGCCCGGAGATGGGCCGGAAGGAGAGCTTAAAGCTGCCGCGGTTTTAGATGTAGAAGCTCGTTGGCAAGCGTGGCGTTAAAGAATCATTTTCTTTTTGGTCTCTCTTTGTACTGCAATTAGGTAATACGGTGTGTATGTGTTCGTTGGGGTTTTTTTTTAATTTCTTGTGTAAAGGGTGGGGTGTCGTTTACTGCCGTGACCTTTGAGTTTTTCTTAAAAATCGCAGTTGGACGAATGGTACTTGGAAGTGTCACAAATAAAAAATTACTCTACTGCAGCTGTACTGTACTTACTTTTTAATTAATTTTTTAGAGACGTTTACAAGAATTTTTATGCGAACCAAGTCCGCTCCGTGGTACTGAAGTGATAAGTATACCACTCACCGATTCTAAAAATAAGAACAACCTCAACGTCGGTTAAACTTTAAAGTCAAGTATCGGGACAGCATTTGTTCTTTGAACTTTTGCTTAAATTGCTGGCGCTAGGGGCGCAGTATCCGGCTTTTAGGATTAACGTTGTAATATCTTTTTAGTTCTCTCGAAATCCATGTCATATAATAATACACATGTAATTTATTATCTGTGAAAGAAGCTGACAAAAGTTGCCCAAGCATTGAAGTGATTGGACTGATTCAATCAATTTTTGAAGGAATGAAATAATTGATTTCTTATTTATTTTTTCTGACTTTCTGGATACAGATACAGTATAAGGCAAAGAACTACGTCAAAATAATGATTCCGTATAACCGGTATGGCATACAAGGTTGGTGGGAGATCCATCCATTTCTTCCACAGAGAGTCAATTAAAATGAAGCCATACGCGATCACACAACATAAAAGTTTCAAACATCAAGAAACCAACAGAATCTCCATTTAATTTTCTTTCCGATAAGAAGGTGGGGCTGCTTAATACAGGGTGTACAGCTGTGGCATTGCCAGAATAGAGCGCTGATGAAAAGCGTAGTACGACGTGTTTCCCTTAGGAATGGCATTCGAATTTCCAGCTCAGAAAATGCATGGATTTACATATACGAGTATAACGCCGGCTTTAAAAGCCAAGTATTTTTTTTAAGTACCAACTATATGCACGCATTTTTTTTATAGATAAATGATAAATCTGCGTTGATTTCCTGAGAGAACACAGAAATCTATTCTACGGAAATCGTACTGTACAATGCTTGAGCGCCCCTATTAACCATTGATCCTTGGGCTCGCAGTGCAACCGCAAACTGTAGAACTGCCGATGCGGGAAAATGCAGGCACTACTGTGTATCATCGCGCTCAGATCGGTATATACGATATTCCCATTTCCCACCGTGCGGATGCGGTCAGTGTCATGAACTGGGTTTTATTGATTATCGGTTTATCACGCACGTGGAATCTGACTGTATACGCTACTGTACGACGAACGTTAAAAGCAGGGCGTCAGAATACGCTATAAACGACTTTGCAGATCATAAAACTCACAAGTTAAATTCGGCTCTTCTTATCGTGTTAAATTTTTTTACTGCCGCCATCTACCGCGTCGGTACATCTTTGGCTTATACAGAGTGGAAGGTGCCACGTTTGGTCGGCGAAAAACTATTCCAGGTAGTGCAAAACGTAAATCAACGCAGATAACATTACCGGCATATTATGCCGACAATCGCGATCCCCTTCACAGGAACGATTGCCATGCCAACGAATTTTTCCGTGCTACAACTGGCAAACAATCCGAGGACGCTATTACGGATTATTAATTTGTTATGAAAGGTTGCACTTGTTACTTTTGTGGACATCGATGCCGAAACGCTGCAACATGGTACGTACTACGTAGAATGTTTTCAGTTGTTCATTTTTATTATAATTTCTTTACTGTTCTTGTGTTTGGATTTGTTCTGTATTTCGATTTCTTCTGTATAGATTGTGCTCGGCATAGCAAAGTATATATTTTAACGAGTTGTGTCAGTAAATTTTGATACGAAGCATTATTTGGCAGTAGACCTAACTTTATTAATGTGAGCAAACTGCAATGTGTATAAGTGCGTTAGTTTTTTATACGGTAGGAGATGTACGCCAGTTATACGCCGCAGTCGGTAGTCATTTATAAAATTATAGGGAAGTGACCCGGTACATCACCGTACATGGTGCCAAATTCGTTTATGTACATGCGCGAAAACTTTCTCCTTCGTGTACTCTAAAACACTTTTACGCATTGTTCTATGACATTCTATAGCCCGATTATTTGTGTACATACATTGCCGGGAAAGCCGTTTGTTTGAGCAACATCCGGTTCGGGAATTATGACTGTAAAAAATTCAAAACGTCCAAGTGCATTTAGGTGTCAGTACGGTTTTGATGATCGTTTTTACACCGCCAGAATTTTTCAGTATAAAATTTTTAAATTAATATTTTTAACAATTTTGAAATTCATTAAATGTAAAAGAAATTACAAAACCGTGGTTCAGAGCAAAAAAGCGCTCTCCATGCATATTTGCGTTTACATCGAAAACTTCAAGGAGATCGGTTTACACAAACGGGTTTTACGACTGCGTAGATATGCATACAAATCTGACTACAGAATGTAAAAACAGTGCAAAAAAAGTGTTTGAGAGAGCGCTAAAGGGAAAGTTTTTGTACATGTATACGAACATGGTACCACTAAACGATTATGTTCCTTCTGGGACATTTTCGAACTGAAATGTTCCCGTTCCACAACTGCGCAAGCAAAGAGAAAAATAAAACAGGTTAAAGATTCTCCAAAAAATGTCCGCTTTCTCTTACGCTGACGCGGTCGGAAACGTACATCTGACCGCTGTAATGCACGTGGCTGTAACTGTACGACCAGCGTTTCGTTTACATTAGACGACTCGACAACAGCAGCACTCAGCAGTCACAGGAGCCACAGTACAGTACCTATTACATTTCAACCGGTTTAATGGCACCAATTGCTTCCTTTTTCTTATTCATGCTGTAGCAACGTAGCGCTATAATTCTGCTATGCAGGTGAATTACAAGCGACCGCTGTGAATGAGAACTATCAGCTTTCTTTCCGGTTAACTGGAGCTGTACAATTGCTGTCACTCGGCCTTCCGTCAAATCCTTTGTACTGACAGTAATTCAAAACGCTGCGCCATTTATCAGCTCGTATTGATAGTCCGTACCGCATTTCAACGGGCAGTGCGTATTGGCGTAACACTAAAGCATCGCAGAAAGCTACCCGTTGGCGTCGGTATTGAATGGGAAATCGCTTTTCTTTATGGATCGTGATGTGAAAAATTATATGTGATTTCTTGCACCCTCAGGCTCATCAGGTATACCGCCCTGCCCGATATATGACTGAAAGAGTCTGAGACGATAGCATGGCTACGAAAAGCTCGTCGACTTCCGATAGGACGAACGGTATATACCGCTCGAGCGTTATATCGCTAAATACATGCAAAATAATTTTTTTGCTTTTTATTAATTTTATTGACACGCTGTTACGGATTATGGATTGGTAATCTATATTCATGGTACATAAACTGAGTTTTATTGTACTTAACGGTTTTTCAGGCAATGCAGCGCATCGCGCTTCCGCGCTTCCGTAGAAGCTCACCTCCAAGAAACGATTGTCATTGGGATCGGCGAGTGACACTCCTCTGCTGAGCAACGCAGGATTTTAATAAATTCCTCGTACAGCGTTGCACATGGAACATCAATTGCCACTAAGATATTGCTCATCCGGGTCGTCCCTAAATGCGGCATGTTATGCAGTACGTTTATATAGCAGAAATATTCCAGTAATGTACTGAAATCCATTTATTTAAGGAAAGTTAACGAATAATTATTGATTCGTGAGTGCTTATAAATTTTGATTACTGTACTATTTAAAGAGAACCTAAAAAAATGTGTAGCAAAAATCCAAATTTCTGTACTTTTTTATACCGATCGATTGCGAATTGGCGCATACCTACTGTTATTTGAACTGTACGCTTAAGTATCCTTGATGGCAACTTACACCATTCGTTGAGTGGAATTACAATTTTTGTAGTGTCCCAGAGACCTTGCTGCAGACAGAGCCGGCTACAGCTGACAATGGCGGCGCATCCAGGATCAAGAATACGAAAGGTTTTAACGCGACACTGCCATTGTTCCTTGTCAACCCGCCGACTGGTCTTTGTCACATGCTTAATCAGCTCCGTCCTGTGGTTGCTCCTTCAGCTGCTTCCTAGTGACACCCCCATCCCGCACATCCCTCCGCGACCTCCTCCACAACCCGGTCCTCTTCCTCCCACCGGCACCAAAACCATCCTGTTCTGGTCACCGTTTTTCCGAGCTGAGCACCCGAATCTCCACGACGACCTCAGCCAATGCCCGGTGTCACATTGTCACCTGACCAATGAGCGATCAGCTATAGACACGGCCGCTGCCGTTGTCTTCCACGCGGCTTATGACGCTTGGGCTCATCCGGATGATGTTCCAGTGCGTCGCTACACGGACCAGGTCTACGTGTACTTCAACCTGGAATCCCCAGCGGCGCAGGAGCAAATTGATTTAAAAGCGGAGGCGTGGCGGGATTTCTTCAATCTGACGTGGACGTACCGGCTGGATTCGGATGTGGTGTCCAACTTCTATGTGGATGAGGAGTTCCAGCGGTTCTGGAATGCCAGGACGCCATTCGAGACAACTAGGAGAAAGAACCGTGCGTTGGCGTTTGTATCGATCTGCGATTCGGCGGGGAAACGCGAGCTGCTGACATGGGAGCTGGGTTGGCATTTCCCCGTGGATGTCATCGGTGGGTGTGGGACGCGAAAACGGGAATGCCCGAAACAGGTTGATGGGAGGATGGAATGTGAGAGGCGCTTGACCGGGGAATATAAGTTTTATTTGGCCTTTGAGAACAGGTTGGTGCTGCCTGTTATGAAACAACCAACTTATTTATTGGTTGTTATCAGGCTCCTGGGTGCGTACATTGCTGGATTCGCTAAACGCTCAACTGGTAGTCAGGCTGGACTTTTCGATAATTCATTTCCTTAACGTGAGCTTCAGTCTTTACTTTTTCATGTTCAAACCACACCGTGCTCTCGTGTGGAGCGATTTACCGTTGACCTTTATGTAAAAGCGGTTCACAAATCCTTATGTCTGGAAAATCTAACGGCGAACGAACGGTAAAAGCTAACTAGGGGTAACCCTAACTTTGTGCATTCGGCGTATGGAACAGTCGGCATCGGCTGCTGCAGATATAGAACCGGTGCACTTCTGATGGAAAAGCAAAGTGTGCACTTAGTTTTCTTGGATTATTTAGAACTCACAACGTACCTCATTAAGTTTTTGTCGATAATACCGTGTACGGAATTGAATATCTTCGATGAACCTGCTATTTTTAAAGGAACAAACGATGCTCCTTTACAGTTTATGCCCGGACTATGTGACGGAAAAACCGTTCCGCGCGCTGGCGTTCGGTGCGATCCCGGTGGTACGCGGTGGCGCCAACTACACCCACTTCCTGCCTCCCGGATCCTTCATGGACGCCTCCGCATTCGATAGCCCGGCGGAATTAGGCCACTACCTGCACAAGGTAGCCGATAATGATGACCTTTATCAGCAGTATTTCAAATGGCACAAGCCGGACGCCGCGCGACCAGTGCTGATGGACCCGAAAAGGTCATCGTTGTGCCGATTGTGTGAGATACTCCATACTCCGGGGTATCGCAGTGAAAGTGTGCGGAATCTGTCGGAATGGTGGGCACGCGGTCAGACGGCGATGTGTACTCCGACGGCAAATTGGTGGTGGCTGCGGATGCGGTTTTACTGGGAATGTTTACTGGGCCGCATTCGCTGAATGCAGCTTGGCATGTGAATATGATCATCATTTTGACATTCTGAAGTGTGATAGGCTGTCAGATGAGATTTGGTGTTTTTGTTTTGTTGCTGACGGATACTCTGTTTTACTTGTTGTTGTTACTGTTCACTGTAAGCGAGCATTGTGACCTGTTGACGGGATCACAACACAAGTCGAAAGCTAAGATGGTATTTTTCAGTAGCGAAAAGACGTACAAACTGTAACGGTACTTGCTGACATCGCCCACAAGGTTTGTCTTAAGGTTTTTAACAAACGATAATTTGATGCATCGCTCAACATGGGCAGGGGATAAAAGGTGGCAGTGGCACCTGCCACTGGCAACTGCCACCGGCAGTGGCAGTTGCCACTACGCGTTCTGGCAAGCGATAAAAGGTGGCAGTTGCCAGAAACGATAAAACTTAGTTTTTTATGCAAAAGCGTCAGATTTCCCTAAATTTGGGACGGCTAATGTGTCCCCCGGTTAGATCGCTTGAGAAATATAAAAACCACTGTCCATAAAAACAGTTGATTCTTTATATTCCGAAGAAACCAAAGAAGCCTAACAACACATTCAAGAAACCAAGAAAAACATAACACACTAATAAACCTAAAATGCAAAGGAACCAAAAACCTACTTAAAACTGAGAAGTGAGAAACGGTGATTCCAGTTTAATACGGTTAATGGTTCTGGTGGTAGTAGCGGCAACGGTACTGGTAATCTTAGTGGCGCTAATGCTGGTTGTCGTAAAATGCAGTAATTCTGGTAGCGGCTGGTACCGCTATTCGTGATTCTCGGCGCAGTGGCAGCCGCCATAGACGTTGCTTTGCACGTCACTGACTGCAAGAATTTTGCAGTGCGCCATAAAAGGAACTTTGCGCGAAGATGGTCGCACGTTAGGCGTCCGCCGTCCTGCAGTACTGAGGCTATCGGCATTGCCACACAATTTTACACAGCATATTACCTTTTTATCGATCATTTGTTCTTCGATTCGTAGAGGTTGATTTTGTGTAAATTTTTATGTACTTGTCGCAATAACAAACAGCATCGTGTGCCAAAGCGCGCTGTTTAAGAAGTGCCAGGATAAACGCGTGTGTCTATGGGCTTACGATGACTACTATAGCTGATTATTAATGAAAAGTTAGTTCGTTAGATAGGTGACGGCATCACAATTGTCATAACAATGGTTGAACTAACTAATATTAATGGCGTGGGGGTTGCATTGTTCATTTATCAACCGCAGTTGTTGGTTGGTACAACCATCCAGGTTGGCCGTTACGTCAACAGATTACGGAACTGGTGTTCAGCTTAACCCGTAGCAGCTAATGCATTAGACCGACTCATCCACAATCCTCCTCATATGCGCAGTTCCCTTTATGGCGCACTGCGAAATTCCTGTATTTAGTTACGTGCGAAAACGTCTATGGCGGCTGCCCCCTGCGACGGGAATAACGAATAGCGGTACCATAGCCGCTACCAGTATTATTACGACAACCAGCAGCAGCGCAACTAAGATCACCAGTAGTGCTGCCGCTACTACCACGAGAACCATTATCCGTATTAAACTAGGTTTTTTCAGAATATTATTAATTCCCGTATGTAGTGTATATTGCAAGTACACGTGCATGCAAGTGCAGCGATGTATATTCTCTAGAATGTGTCTGTCAATGTGAATACTTCCAATGTCCTTCCTGCCGTAGCAACTGGTAATGAATGTACCAGCGTACTACGTTGTATGTACAGATATTTTAGTTGGTTTTTGCTTGGCCGGCGAGCGGATAATAACAGAGGTATCATACTGCCGCAACAAACATGACAATTTAGAATTGATCGTTTTTATGGGCCTAGCGGCTTTATATTTCTCAACCGATCTAACCGGGGGACACATTAGCCGTCCCAAATTTAGGGAAATCTAACGTTTTTGCACAAAAAAATTAGTTTTACCGCTTCTGGCAACTGCCACCTTTTATCGCTTGCCAGAACGCGTAGTGGCAACTGCCACTGCCGGTGGCAGTTGCCAGTGGCAGGTGCCACTGCCACCTTTTATCCCCTGCCCTCAACATGGTTGTTCCGAAATACGGCCAAGCGTTCTGGCATAAACAGCGTTTCGCGCCTCGTAATAAGGAGAATCCTATCGAAGTACATAAGAGCGGACGTATAAGCAAAAACTTTTCTAACAGTAACCTATCCGTATGTGTTTACTTGAGTTCATCTCACAAAAGAACACCGGAGACAGATGTTTTACATCATCGTCAAAATTTACAAGCAGTAAATACAAGCACGGGGCTCTTCTGCTGGTGCAAATACCCGGCACTCATTTATTTGTATGAATATCGCCTCCAAAGAAACCTGCCCCAGTTTCTTCCATTCTGCCCTGTTGGGGGCATCTGCGGTGAGAAAAGCACGGTGTGTATCTGTACTGTAAAATATCTAATGGTAAGACTGCGCACGATGCCTACACCATCCCAATTCCGAAATCCCGACGGTGCCGATCGACTGCCGAGTACGCCAGAAACAACACGTAGCACTAGCACAAACTAAACGTCTTTTTACTCCCAACCCAGCCTACATAGTAGAAGTTGCAAAAACATCGTGCAGAATTTGGTTTCTGGTGTGACCGTGTGAGTATAGTCTGGTTCTGGTACCGGTACCGCCCGGTACAAAGTGCTGTGTACAAGTACATGTACACTTCTAATAGTGAAATAAAAAATGCTTCTTTATTTTATATATGGAACGTTTCGTACCAAAGAAAAAAACTGGAACGTTTTTTCCTTCTTGTAGTCACTGTAGACACCCTACCCTGTAGACAACTTGTATACATCCTAAGAAACCAGGGGACTACAGTATGTCTACACTTCTACAGTGGTGTCTACGGGCTGTCTACACATGACTACCGGTATATACAGGCAGAGTATTTAGTTGAACCTAAGAAGGTATGCCTGTATTCAGCGGTAGACATCCGTAGGCAACCTCTAGACACCGTTGTAGACACACTGCATAAATCCTAAGAAACCAAGTGACTACCGATAGGTCTACAGGGTGTCTACAGCCTGTTTACAGATGTCTACTGTGACTACAAGGAGAGAAAAAACGATTCACTTTTTTTCTTTGGTACGAAACGTGCCACAGGTTGTTATTTCGCTTTGTAACTTGCCGGTACCTTTAATCTGCAACGGTAAGCAATACTACATGTAGCTTTGGTATTTTGTTACGGAATACGAACGCACTTGTTACTGATTTGGTTACACACACTCCGTGCGTACTTTTAATAGCCAGGTGTAAAATCCCATGCTAGACAGTCATCCCTGCCGGAAATGCGCTACCTGCTCTGACGCGAATTAAATAAATTACATAATAAAATAATTATTGCCGCATGACAGCAAACGGGCCTCGATAAAGGTGGTTGAGATATTATAATATCGTAATTATTAGCTTTTCAAAGCAACAAATTATTCTGAAGTAAATTTCTGCGTCAGTAAATCCGATAATGGCTCATGGTTTCCTGCAGACATGTAAATAGAGGTTTACCGTCGCCTCGCCTTCAGGAAGGGCACTTTGCTTTGAACAGATTGCAAACCACATAAACTTACATCACGACAACTCTGTAAATGATTATGACGCTACGAATCTAACGGTACTGCGAACGCAATACGTCTGTAAAGCTGGCCGTAATTTAAAATTACAAGCACGTAGTGCAAAACTGAACCGGCTGTGCTCCCCGAAATTCGCCAGTGTTTTGGACTGTCAATTGGCAATAAATTCCGTACATCCAGTAAGTGTGACTTCCTTCCGGTGGATGAATTTCATCAGGTGTGGATTAAATGAAGGAGAACTGGCCAGTTCATTCACTACATTTGTCAGCTATAGATGCGACCCGTACCGTAGTGTCTTTCCATAACGCTTCTCGTTACAGTGACCTTTATTATTTCAATTGACATTGGCTGTACATCCACAGGTTGGCGTTGCGGGAAACAAAATGTCTGGGGTCTCTTCGTTTCTGTGCCGGTTACTGGTGGGCTTATTCTTGCTTACAGCTTATGGGATTTTTGTTACGGTTGACTGGATAGATCTGGTTGTGAATGGGACAGTCGACTACCAGTCGAGCTGCACGCGATTCAAGTTCATCCCGGTCTTGTTCTTTGTCACTACCGCGTTTTCTCAGACGTCCTGCGCTACTGCGTTGTTGAATCTGGCAGCAGCAGTATGTTGTAATCTTCGCCAGGGGAAAATGTACCGCGCTTTGCGCGATTTCACTGTAGATCCCACTGAGTCATATCCTGAACGCCGCCAACTCATGCGCCTGATCGTATCACTCGGGCCAGCAGCCGTTCTCCTTACCGTAGCATGCCTGGTGCCGCTGAAGTCCGTTATGGACAACATTACCAATACCACCACCGTCCATTATGCGGTATTCACCGTGCCCGCTGTCGTTTCCGAGTCCTGGATTGCCGTACTAGGGGCCATCAGTTACGTTATCGTTTACGGGAATTACGTCATTGTTTGTCTACTCTTTCACCAGTACAGGCAGGCCGCCACGCGAGTACTGGACGGATTGGCGCTTTTGTCCCAACGTCTGCCCGCAGTGTCCAGGAAGCAGCTCTTGCAGCACGTGCGGCGCTATTCGGCGGCCATTAAAAAGCTGAACCGTATATACGGACAAATGGAACCGTGTGTGGGTGTGCCGTTATTGCTGGTCACCGTGGCGAGCTTCTTCTCGTTCGCCCAGACTATCGCACAACTGATGCTGGACAGCGATGTCTTCAAGGAGCCGCAATTTTCCATTTTCCTTGGTGCTCATAACTTTATGCACGTATGGATGTCCATAGCTGTAATCGTTTTCGCGGAAACGTCTACCCACAAGGTATTCATGCAGTGCGAATGACCTTTATCCGTAGATTGTGCTATAACTGTATACATTGTATATATAACGTTGGCCTGCATTTTCGCGTGTTTTTGCTTTTTGTAGCAGGTTTTTGCTCGTGCGAGTAATAATTAATTTTTTTACTTAACATCAACGAAAGCATTGCGCTTCCGGTATAGGGGACCTTCGTTACGCTCCGGTCGATAACTGTAACCTTTATACACCGTAGCTTTTGCTATAAACGAACTCTCTAATTAACGCTAGAATGCTAACAAGTAAGTAGTCAATAATATATTCGTTGTCAGTACGAAGAATAGAAGTATAGATAGTACTGACTGTAACTGATGATAGCAGTGAC